CGTTTCTATGTCCTAGGTGTAACGGTTAAAAAATAATAATAATCATGGGGTCACGTGTTTGACGTGGACAAATTTGCTACTTCATCTAGCAAACTTAATTGATTTATTTTTATTTGACAAAATTGAAACACCTTCGCAGATGTCCCTATTTTTTCTGTCTAAACTCTAGGCGTTTGGTATGCGGTATTCTCCGGGATTCTCGGGAAATTGAATTTTTCTAAATTTTTAATTTTCGGATATTATCATAAACTGAATGTAAAAATCATATTTATGAAAATCAAGATTCCCGGATAAAAAAAATTTCCTCTACCAATTTTGACCCAACGTTATTAGTTATGTATTTATGGTGTGATGAAATTGGAGTAACAAGAAACAAGGCTCTGTTTGATTGTTGTTTTTAAAAACAGTTTTTTAGTTTTCAGAACAAAAAAACTCGTTTGGTAAAGCTTGTCTTATAAAAAATGTTTTGAAAACTATAACTGTTTTTTTGTTTTTAGAATCAAATTTAGAGAACATGTCTGAGTTGTTTTTGTTTTTTGTTTTGGTTTTTAACTTTCAAAAATTAAAAAAATATAGAAAATAACTGTTTCCATAACTATTTTACAAAATAGTTTTAAGAACAAAAATATCAGAACACAATCAAACAGACCTTTATTAGTTTCGTTTTTCGTTTTTTGTTGTTTTAGTAAAAAGAGTTAAGAAAAAATAAAAGTGAAATGGGAATACAGGGGGTGCATTGATGTTCCCAATGTGGTTTTTAAGCGGCAAAGTAGCTTTAGATTTTAGGGGGTGTTTGGTTGAAGAGATATTTTTTTGAATACTAGGGAAATAGAATTGATAAGGAAATGGTAAGAAAGTTAGATAAAGTGAGATAGATAGGAAAATGTTAAAAAAAGTTGTTTGGTGAGGAAAAACTTTACTGGAAAAATTAGGTAAATTTTAGAAAATGTATGTTTGGTTGGAGGTGAGATATAGATGGGAAAACAATCTTAAATTACTAAAATAACCCTGATTTTAAATTATAAAAAAAACCCCACAGCTGTCAAATTACAAAAATGTATATTTGACTCTTTCCAACGACCATAAAAACGAAAGGGGGAAAAATATTGCATCGTATCATCTCTGTTTCTTTAGAAAGAACTTAATATTTGTTTGCTTTAGCTTTTCATTCTTTGAGGATTTCTTCTTGGTTTTAGTTTTGCTTATTGGTCTTCAATCTATCCAAGGTCACTTATGTGATTCTTATTTCAGATTTCCTCTCCTTTTTTTTCCTTTTTTTTTTGGTTGAATTTGGAATTTTATTGTGTGTTCTGGATTGTGCCCTTTTATTGAACCTACCCCGTTAGCATTTCTGGAAGAATATCGGTTGAGGTACTCATTTTATGCAGATAGTAGAATGCAAAACGGGTTATTGAATATCTGTACTATCCCTTTCTATTAGGAAAAAGCTTGAATTTTTACTCCTGGTTTTGAGTTTCTATACTTGGGTTTGATCTTTCTGGGCTGATTCTGATTATATTCAATTTTTCCATCGGTGTGAAGTTTGAAAGGCAATATGGTTTGATCATTCATTTACAGCTCTGTTGCATTTTGAAAGGGTATATTGGTTATTCAAAAATAATTCAGACAATGGAAAGCCGTTGTTTTACAAAAACCCACGGACGAAAACGCTTTTTAAACAGTACCGAAACCTATCATTTTCCATTTAAATTCAGAAACCTATGCATTTTGGATCACCAGCTTTTTGTGTGAATCTTTTCAACCAAACATTTCTATCCTAGAATCCTTCTCTCACTTGCCTAGGAAAATTTGGGAAAGACCTCATCCAAACACCACCTTAGAGTTTAGACAGAGAAGATAAAACATGTGCAAGGGTGTTTCAATTTTGTCAAAAAAAAAAAAAAATACATCAACCCAGCTCGTTAGATGGATCAGCAAACTTGTTCACGTCAGATACGTGCCTCAATGGCTATTTTTTGTCCTGATCATTGCACCTAGTTTGTTGTGTTCAGTAACGAACTTCTAGTTGGCTGCTGCCATATGTTCTATGCTCATAGCAGATTGCCATGTCTGCAAATGAAGTTTGCTAACTGTTGTAGCAAATTTGTACGCATAACACTTTGAAAAAATTTACTGTTTGCGTGACAGTTGAGCAAAGTTTTTGTAAAAATGTGGCAAAATAGTTACTATTCCACAAATTAATGTAGAGAATAATTTCATATTATATAAAGGAAAAAATATGTGTCATTTTAAATGGATTTAGGGGTGTTAACAAGCCGAGCCGGATCGGACTTTGGTCTTAAAAGGCTAAGTCTGTGTTTAAATATGTCAATATGCCCTAGCCTGTTTTCTGTTATGAATATAATTATTGGTCTATGGTTTGACTTATTTACAAAATATAAAAGTCTAGTTTAGCCTGTTAAAAAAAATCAGACAATAAAAATTTATCTAAAAAAAATATACGATCAACAACGGTAATGATTTCATAAAAATTTATAAATTCAATGTATATCCAAATAGCATAATACAGAATAAAATCATTCAAAAAGTTTGATTAACCAATTAAATAGAATGAAATGGGTTGAGGAGAGACAGGGGGCTATTAAGAGTAGTATAAAAAATATAAAATAAAAGTTAGTATACTAGGTCAGCCTGAGAGGCTCTAAGGCTGAACTACTTTTGAATTAGAGTCTGAGGCCATTTTATTAGGGGTGTTAACGGGTCGAGCCAAGCCGAGCTTTGGTCTTAAAAGGATAAGCTTGTGTTTAAATGTGTCAGTCTGACTAAGCCTGTTATCTGTTATAAATATAATTATTGGCTTGCGGCCTGGCTTATTTACAAATAACAAAAGTCTGATTTAGCCTGTTTAAAAAAAAAATAAGACAACAAAAAATTATCCAAACAAATATACAATCAACAACACTTGTAATTTCATAAATTCAATGTATATCCAAACAACATAATATAAAACAAAATCATTCAAAAACTTTGTTTAACCAATAAAATGGGATGAAATTAATTGAGGAGAAAGAAAGGGCTAATACAAGTAGTACAAAAAATATAAAATAAAAAAAATAATAATATACTAGACCAGCCTGAGAGGCTCTAAGGCCGAGCTTTTGAATTGAAGCTGAGGCCTTTTTATTAAACTAGCTTTTATACAAGTTCAATCCAGATGCCAACAACCAATTTTAGACATGTAAGCTCAGATCTTCACGAGCCGAGCCAAAGGCTCCTGGTTTGTTTAGCACCCCTACTTTTGATTAAACGAGTTTTTATACAAGTCCAAGTCTGGTTCCAACAATCAATTTTAGACATGTAAGCTCAGACATTCACGAGCCAGGTCAAATGCCCCTGAAAAGCCCTTGATTCGTTTAGAACCCCTAGTTTTGTTAGGTGAGGGTATTTTTAATGATTTATATTATTCTTTAACACACCCCCTCACACAATAGCTCTTTGGGCTTGAAGTGTGGATATTGCACAGGCCCAATGTTTTTGGTTTTACCTTGTGCTTTTTTTTTTTAACTCCACTCGAAAGTGGTGGGCGGTAAGGATCGAACTCGTGACCTTGTAGTCACTGAAACTCTGATACCATGTAAAGAATCACTTCAACCCTAAATCTTAAAGTATTAGGTGAAGGCATTTTTAATGATTTATATTATTATCCAAGGGTCCCACTAGCTTGATATAAATGTAGTTTCTAAATTGCCATTAAAATTTTCTGTTCATTATTTGGGATGCTGAACCTGCAATTTGTTTTTTACAAGAACCATACTTTAGCGTTCAAATTTTGCTCATCAGTTTATGTACGGCACTTTCTTTTGGTCATTCTACTACAGACATTATGTAACTATTTAGTAAAAGACACGCTTCTCTATTGACTATTGTGCTGCCAATGTCACAAAATTACCCTTCTTGGCCTTGACAAAGAAATAAGATATATAAATTTTCTTGCAACCTTTACACATTTGGCGAAGATCAACCTAGTGAGAAGGCCAGAAGGGTCCATTGCTTAATAATGAAACTGACTTTTGAAAGTTGTTGACATATGATAATTTTTGTTTCCCTTCTATATTCCTTGGGACGTGCTTCCTCATGCATTATAGCAAATATTATTCTTGAGCACCCATTTTTCAATATTAGTATGGCCGTTTCCTATGATAAAACAAATTTTTATTTCATTTTATTATTTAGAGCGGAGTAGCAATAGACAAATAAGATTGAAAATATACAATTCTATGCTAAACTAATTATGGTATATCATTAAAGAAGCTTTGAGCATTATTGCTTTGGTAAATATGTCTTCCCTCCCACCAAACTTGCTCTTTAAACTTATTATTGAGACGAAGTTTTTTTTATTCATTTATTTAATGAAACGGATAGGTTATTCTCATGCCTTTTGAGCCTGCGACTAATTCTTAGTTTGGAATATTAAGACTGAGAGTGCTTCTCTAAAAGCTTTAATCCTGAACATAGAATAATAATAGAAAGGAGTTTTTTATTTTTACTTTAGTAATGCCATTCGTGTAGTTTTTCTGTATTTGGAAAGCGATTCTGAAGTCACTTGTATAATTAACTGTAAAGAATTTTTTTTCTTGCAGATTAAAATAAATTTGAAGTTTAAAAAAGTAAGTAACAATTTAAAAAAAAATAAAAATTTCTTGGTGATGAAATCCTTAGCATTTCAATAAGAATAATTGTCCCAGTCATCCATATTTGAAAATGATGTTTGAGTTCAGTATACACCTATGACCGAATATTCAGCATACAAAGAAGGGACAGAATCTGTTTACAAACTTTTTTTGCAATTACATTAATGTAGGACCGGTCGTACACTGTGTGATTAATGTAGGACCGGTCCTACACAGTGTAGTTTGTAAACAAAAAAGTTCGTAAATATAACCTGTCCCTACAAAGAATATATAGGATAAAAATAAGAGCAATACCAAATAAGAGCAATACCGCGTGATCAGAAATAAACTAGCTCTTGAACATTGGAAAAAATTGAGGTGCAACTCAACTGTTGTCTAGTCTTCTCTGTGGACTTGATCATGGAGCTTCACTACCTCTACATTTTCTCCACAATCCTGCTCCTGTGTCTGTTTCCTCAATCACTCAATTGTCAACAAGTATACCTCAATGACACTGTCTATGATTGCTCTAACAACCCTTCTGCACCAAAAGGATACCTCTGCAATGGCCCTCAAGATTCATGCACTTCCTTCTTAGTTTTCATGTCAAAACCTCCCTATGATAACACTGTAAGCATTGCCTACCTCCTTGGCTCTGAAGCATCTACCATAGCTTCAATCAACAACATCTCAAGAAATGACAAGATTCCTTCAAATAAATCAGTCATTGTCCCAGTCTCTTGTTCATGTCCTGGGAATATCTACCAGCATAACACACCTTACACTGTCAGCAAGAATGACACCTACTTTGAGTTGGTAAAAGAGACTTACCAAGGCCTCACCACCTGCCAGGGATTGATGGGTCAGAATTACTATCCCTCTATCAAAATTCCAGTTGGTGCTGAGATCAAAGTTCCAATGCTATGTGCTTGTCCTACAGCAGACCAGAAGGCAAAAGGGGTCGCCACATTGCTGGTTCACATGGTGAACAATGGTGATACAGTTAAGTCCATAGGAGAGGCTTATGGTGTTGATGAACAAAGTATGCTAGAGGTCAATGAGTTGAAAGTGGCACCTAGTGCAAACAGCAGCATCATCCTCCATGCCTTGACACCTATATTAGTTCCTCTGGGAGGTAAGAGTTGCAAAGAGAACCCGGATATATTCTATTGTAAATGTTACCAGTCACTACTTGCAAATGGAAGCTCCAAGGGGGCCTTCTGTGATGAATCTGATGGCAAAAAATTCCCTGCCAAATTGGTTTCTATAATAGGTATTTCTGTCTACACTCTCTTTAAGAAGAATCAAAAAATAGTTTTATTGAAATTTTGGTTTTTTACTTTCTAGCATAGCATAGCCGTAGTTTGTAAATGATGCACCTAATCAGAAAAGGTTTAATTATTGTTGTGTATCGCCCCATCTGACTGCTGCAGGCATAAGGTTATAGAGTAGAATGAATGATCAACGATGTCACCATGCCAATATTTGATTTACACTTAAATAAACAGAATGCTTTGAACTTGCTACTTGTTATTTGCTATAATCATAAGGATGTTTTGTTGCAAGTCTATGCTTCTACCTGGATTTAAAAATTGTGTGTGTTTTTGCAGGTATTGGCATTGGTGCAGGCTTTCTGTGTTTGTTTCTTTTCGGTTACAGGTTGTATCAATACATACAGGAAAAGAGAGGAAGTATTTGTAAGGAAAAGCTGTTCAGGAAAAACGGTGGCTACTTGTTACAAGAGAAGTTCTCATCTCATGGAAATGGAGAAAATGTACAGATTTTTTCAGCTGAGGAGCTGCAAAGAGCAACAGATAACTATAACAGTAGTAGGTTTCTTGGTCAGGGTGGCTATGGCATGGTGTATAAAGGAATGTTACCAGATGGAACCATTGTCGCAGTTAAGAAGTCAAAAGAGATTGAAAGGAACCAGATAGAGACTTTTGTTAATGAAGTGGTAATTTTATCCCAGATCAATCACAGGAACATTGTCAAACTCTTTGGTTGTTGTCTTGAGTCAGAAGCTCCTTTACTAGTCTATGAATTCATTCCCAATGGAACCCTTTCCGACCATATCCATAGGAAAGACCACGAGGCTTCCCTTCCTTGGGAAAGTCGCCTTAGAATTGCATGTGAGGTTGCTGGTGCATTAGCATATATGCATTTTGCAGCTTGTGTTCCCATCTTGCACAGAGACATCAAACCCACCAACATATTACTGGACAACAACTACAGTGCCAAAGTGTCTGATTTTGGGACATCAAGATCAGTTCCACAAGATAAGACTCACTTAACCACAGCTATAGGAGGAACTTTTGGGTACATAGACCCTGAATATTTCCAGTCCAGTCACTTTACAGATAAAAGTGATGTATATAGTTTTGGGGTTGTGCTTGTAGAGCTCATAACCGGGAGAAAGCCCAATTCATTTTCAAATGAAGATGAGGGTCAGAATCTGGTTGCAGAGTTCATTTCTTTGATGAAGGAGAACCAACTTTCTCAAATTTTAGATGCAAGGGTGCTTAAGGAAGCTAGGAAAGAAGACATTCTTGCCATTGCAAATCTTGCACTGAGTTGCTTGAGACTTAATGGGAAGAAAAGACCAACAATGCAAGAGATTTCAGAGGAATTAGAAGCTTTGAGAAAGGTACAAAGTTCCTTACAGGTCAACCATGATCATGAGTCAACAAATGATGTACCATGTCTTAACCACGCTACTAGTGACACAGTCCAAGAATCTAGAGAGCAAAGCACTTCACTATTCTCACTGCTAGAGTCCACATCCTTTTAAGTGAATTTTAACAACAACATACTTTGTAATTTATGTATATGGATACGGTTATAACTCCATAATTTTTTCCTTTAAGTGCACCCTAGGTGACAAGTTCTTTCATAAGATGCTTCACTACAAATAATGATCAAGTGATCCCTTTATGGTATATCATGCTCCAAAGAATTTTTCATTTTCACCATTCCATATTTTCTTCTTTAATAGGTTGAATAGTGAAAACCATTTTGTTGGAAATCGACACACACAAATCGAAAAAGGAAAAGAGAAAGGGAAGAGAGAAATCGACACAGTGATTTATCCTTATTTAACCAATGTAGGCTATATTCACCTCACTGCCACTCATTACAAGTCACTCGGTTTACAAGAGAATATAAATAGGATTTAGAAAACTCTATCAACAGCTATTCATGGGCTCAAGCCCAAACTAATAAGTAAAAGAAAATTATAATATGTCAGGGACTCACAACAGTATCAGAGCCCTTATCAGCATGCAAAGTATGAGCCATACCCAACACATTTGACATGCGTAGCTCATTGGTCCTCAAACTACTTAATCAATATTGAGGCAGAAAGCAAGATGTACTATTAAAGCAAACTATATATATGTAAAACCCTTGTGTTGCGCGGTATAAAAATGTTTTACATTTTGGTTAATTGAATAACATGTCACCACCTCCTTGATCATATTCATCACTTCTGCTTCTTCAATAACACTTGCAGGCAAATTTTCTTGTATTCTTCTTACTCATTATCAACAAATTGTGATGATCCTTTGGTTGTTATTTTTGTAACATGTGAACTCAGAAAGCATATGGCAATGCCTACTATAAGCCTCCTATATATCCCAAAAACAAGAAGCTGGAAATAGCATACAAGAATCAAACTAACATAGTAAAATCCTCAATGTGAAATTAATAGATAAATTAGTGTCAACAAAATATCAAGCTTCATCAAGACACGCAATTATTCCTCCAGTATTCTACCAAGACTGAATGATCTAATCATTTCCTTAATTTGCTTTCTGGGAAAACAAATATAGTATTTATATTACTGAACAAAACACTACATTTCAATAGAACTGGACAAGCTATGCATTTTGAATGGGCTGAAGATAGTTCACAAGATGGGTATTAGTGGTTAAACAGTAGAAATATGAGACCACCCATGTTAAACGTGCAAGAGCTTGTAACTTATAGAGAAAGAAAAATTAAAAACTACGAACAAAATTTCTCCAATAATATTTCACTACGTACCCGAGGAACTGGTCATCTCTTATATTGACGGTGTCAAAACGGATTAACGTGATAAGAATTTGAGATAATATGAATACATCAATATGAACACGACACAAGTTTTTATTTGTGTCAAAATCTTTAACACAAAAACAATACAAATTTTTTGCGCGTTAACACAACACGAATGACACACAATAAAGGTCAAAACAATAATTGACCAAAAAAATTTACAAAAATTGGTCAAAATTAAAAAAAAAATTAAAATGAATAGTAAAAATAATTAAAAAAATACGAATTGACACACAACACAACACGATTTTTTTTTCCGATCAATCCGAAGACAAATTTTCGTATTATATAAGTGTCATAACTTGTTTTGACAACTAGAGCTGTCAAAACGGGTCAGCCTGGCTCATTTAACCCTAGCCCAAGTGGGTTAGGGCCAAAAAGCCCACAATGATATAGATCCACACGGGTCAAAGCCATATGGGTTAGGGCCAGCCTGCGGGCCTTCTAAAAAAATAATATGTATTTTAAAAAAAAATATTTATAATAAAATGGTGCATAGAAATTATTAGAAAAAATAAAAATAAATAGTTTTTAGAAAAATGTCACTTTTTAAAAATATTATTGCATAGAAATTTTTTCGTAAAAAGTTTTGACAGAAAACGTTTCTGTAAAAAAATTTACAAAAAAAAAATTCGTCAAAATTCTTACAGAATCTAAATTCCGTAAAAGTTTTTGAAGAAAAAATTTCAGTCGAAATTTTTGACGAAAAAAGTTTTTGTTGAAATTTTTGACGAAAAAAATGTCCGTCGAAAATTTTGACTCAAAAATTTCCGTCAAAATTTTTGACACAAAAATTTACGTTGAAATTTTTAATGAAAAAATTTTTTGTCGAAATTTTTGACGAAAAAAATTTCCGTCAAAAATCAAAACACATTTTCGTCAAAAAAATTTGACGAAAAATATTTTTAACAAAATTTTCGATAAAAAATATTTCTATCAAAATTTTAAACGGAACACATTTTTGTTAAAAATTTTCCACGAAAATTATTTCTGTAAAAAACTTTGACGAAAATATTTCTGTAAAAAATTTCAACGAAAAAATATTTTGTCAAAAATCTTTACGAAATCTAAATTCCGTCGAAAGTTTCACAGATACATTTCCTTCAAAAATTTTGAAAAAAAATATTTCCGTTGTAATTTTCATTGGGTAATATTTTCATCGAAGATTTTGGACAGAAAATATTCCATCAAAATTTTTGAAGGAATTTTTTTTTCCGTCAAAACTTTTGATGAAATTTTTTCGTTGTAAATTGGGTTGAATATTGTAGCCCGCGGGCCAGCACCAACCTAACCCTATAATAAGAGGGTTTTTAAAGAATGGGCTTAAAATAGCTCCATTACATAGAAGACTAAAAATTTATAAGGCTGACCCTAGAGCTTGATGAGCTGGCCCTAGGGCTTGACCCGTTTTGACAGCTCTATTGACAACTCTACTTACACATGTAGGGAATTACTCCGTACTAATATAATTAATTAGTTTATGGGAAAAGTGTCTATACATTTAAATTACACAACTTACATCCTTTCACTCTCACAAAGAGGTGGGACCCACAACTTTATTTTTTTTGTCAACTCTCTCTCCTCCTTTATCTATCTCTTTCTCTCTCTTAAAATGACACAACTTTACATCCTTCAAAATTATACACACTTTTCCCTTAGTTTATTCATCATAATGATAGATTGGGAAATGAACCTCGGTTAAAGAAAGAACCAATGGTGAAAAATAACTTTGAAAATAGCCTTTCTATTACTATATTTAGATTTCCGCCGCCGAAGCTGCGTCAACATCAAGTGATAAGGAACCAAAGAAAAGTTTCAAAGTGAAAAGCTTAAAGCATGTGACGTAAAAGTGATAAAGCATATCTGCAATTGTTGAAGTTCTTATCGTTGAAATTTCAACAATTGTGATAGGTATATTTAAATATTATACTTAAGATATTTGGAGAAGGATAGTGTAATAATTAATTAGTGTTACTATCAATGTTATTACTAATCAATTTCACTGTTAGATCGATTATGTTGATCTAACGGTTATATTTATTTTCATCTTTGTATAGTTATGATTCTCCGTATTTAATACTTTATATTTACTTTCACTTTTGTATGGTTATGATTTTTCATATTTAATGCTTTCACATTAAAAATGGAAAATTATAATCATACAAATATAATCGTTGGATCAACATAATCGATCTATCGATGAAATTGATTGATAGTAACATTGATAGTAACACTAGTTGATTTGAAAGCATTAAATATGAAAAATTATAACCATACAAAGGTAAAAGTAAATATAAAGTATTAACTACGAGGAATCATAACCATACAAAGATGAAAATAGATATAACCGTTGGATCAACATAATCGATCTAACGGTGAAATTGATTAGTTGTAACATTGATAGTAACACTAGTTGATTGTTACAATATCCTATGCCATGATATTTACCCTGTCTCTTAAATAATATATTCTAAGATTATACCTGTAATAGGGGGCGGGAGGTGCGTGTGTCTATATATATATATATATATATATATATAATTAGAGGTAAGATATTTATATTATCATTTTTTTTTCTACTATCACTTTATAAATCATCATTAGATTAAAGAAAAAGTTGAATGAACAAAAAAAAAACAATAACTTTTAAATCCAACAATAATTAAAGTGGTAATAAAAAAAATGGTAATATAAATATTCTTCCTCGTATAAGAGTTATTTTCACTTATATATTGCTTACTTCCTCAATTCTTTTCAAATGCAGAACCTATTCACCAACATCTGACTCACACTTAAATTTCAAGAATACCATTTTCAATAACAAAAAAAAAAAAGAGCTTAGCTAGTCATCTTTTTACTTGAGTGATGTCATCCACGTAGTTTGTTGTATCTACAAAGCGACCTTGAGGTCATTTATATAGTAATAATGCCATTAAACACGAAGCACATTACAAGAATTCAAGGTCTAAGCGCCAGTTTGATTCTGATTACATGGTATTGATCTTGCTTTATCATTTGGAATGGTATGCTGAATATTCAGCCCAAGGGTTGATTGAACTAAGTTAATTTTCAAATGGACGACCAAGACAAAATTATTCAAAACTACTCAGCAGAAAGAAAATTTTGTTACTCAACGTGTCTGACTCTTGACTATAGAGGGATCAATCATGAATCAACACAACATTAAATTTGTTCCAACTTTGACTGAGACAAATCGTCGTAATTTGTTCCACCATTAAAACAAAAAAAATTCTTACGTAAAATACAAGAAAAACATGGCTTAAAGAAAGTTGTAGATCTTGAACTGCATCACAAAATTGAAGTGCAACTCATCTATTGTCTTCTGCAAAGACAGGTTCATGGAACTTCACTACATTTACATTCTCTCCTCAATCCTGCTCTTATGTCTGTTTCCTCAATCACTCAACTGCCAACAAGTATACCTCAACAGCACTGTCTATGACTGCTCTGCAAACCCTTCTTCACCAAAAGGATACCTCTGCAATGGCCTTCAAAAGTCATGCACTTCCTTCTTAGTTTTCAGGTCAAAACCTCCTTACGATAACCCTGTAAACATTGCCTACCTTCTTGGCTCTGAAGCATCTACCATAGGCTCAATCAACAAAATCTCAATAAATGACAAGATTCCTTCAAATAAATCAATCATTGTCCCCGTCTCTTGTTCATGTCCTGGAAATATCTACCAGCATAACACACCTTACACTGTCAACAAGGATGACTACTACTTCAAGTTGGTAAATGAAACTTACCAAGGCCTCACCACCTGCCAGGGATTGATGGGTCAGAATTACTATCCTTCTCTCAATATTACAATTGGTTCTCAGCTCACAGTTCCGATGCTATGTGCTTGTCCCACGGCAAACCAGACAGCAAGAGGGGTCACGTCCTTGCTGGTTTACATGGTGAATAAGGGTGACACCATTAAGTCCATAGGAGAGGCTTATGGTGTTGATGAACAAAGTATGCTAGAGGCCAATGAGTTGCCAGTGCCATCAAGTGCAGAGAGCATCGTGAACATCTTTGACAAGACGCCTATCTTAGTTCCTCTCAGAGGCAAGAGTTGCAAAGAGGACCCAGAAAGTTTCTATTGTACATGTTCCCAGGGACTGCTTGCAGATGGAAGCTCCATGGGGCAATATTGTAATGAATCTGATGGTAAAAAATTTCCTGCCAAATTAGTTGCTTCATTAGGTATTTTTCTCTAAACCCTCTAAAGAATTAAATAAGTTTTATTGAAATTTTCATTTTTAGCATAAGGGGGCGGACCGGCGCAGGGGTAACACTGTTAACTGAAAGGTCATAGGTTCGAATACAGGAAACAACCTCTTTGTAATTATGCAAGGGTAAGGCTGCGTACAAGGATTGCCTCCACCCCACACTCGCTAGCATGTACCTGATGCCACCTAATGAGATAAACCTTGATATTTGTTGTGTTGCCATAGCCAAGTGCAGACATAATGCAATAGAGTAGACAGCAAAATATTTGATGACACCAACCAAAGATTTTATTTTATTTTTTCACTTTGATGAATAGATTGAACATGGGGATGTTTCTTGCTAGTCACTGCTTCCACCTGAATTTGAAAGATTTGTCCTTGTTTGTGTATTTGCAGGTGTTGGCATTGGTGCAGGCTTTCTGTGTTTGTTTCTTTTGGGTTACAGGTTATATCGATGTATACAGATAAAAGGACAAAGAATTCGTAAGGAAAAGTTGTTCAGGAAAAATGGTGGCTACTTGTTACAAGAGAAGTTTTCATCTTATGGAAATGGAGAAAAGGCAAAGCTTTTTACAGCAGAGGAACTGAAAAGAGCAACAGATAACTACAATCGGAGTAGGTTTCTTGGTCAGGGTGGCTATGGCATGGTGTATAAAGGAATGTTACCAGATGGAACCATAGTTGCAGTTAAAAAGTCAAAAGAGATTGAAAGGAACCAGATAGAGACTTTTGTGAATGAAGTGGTCATTTTATCCCAGATCAATCACAGGAACATTGTCAAACTCTTTGGTTGTTGTCTTGAGTCAGAAGCTCCATTACTAGTCTATGAATTTATTCCCTATGGAAACCTTTCCCACCATATCCATAGGAAAGACAATGAGGCATCCCTTCCTTGGGACAGTCGCCTTAGAATTGCATGTGAGGTTGCTGGTGCATTGGCATATATGCATTTTGCAGCTTCTCTTCCCATCTTCCATAGAGACATCAAACCAACCAACATACTCCTGGACAGTAATTACAGTGCCAAAGTGTCTGATTTTGGGACATCAAGATCAGTTCCACAAGATAAGACTCACTTAACCACAGCTGTAGGAGGAACTTTTGGGTACATAGACCCTGAATATTTCCAGTCCAGCCAATTTACAGATAAAAGTGATGTATATAGTTTTGGGGTTGTGCTTGTAGAGCTCATAACCGGGAGAAAGCCCATTTCGTTCTCAGATGAAGATGAGGGTCAGCATCTGGTTGCAGAGTTCATTTCTTTGATGAAGAAGGAGAACCAACTTTCTGAGATTTTAGATGCTAGAGTGCTTAAGGAAGCTAGGAAAGATGATATTCTTGCCATTGCAAATCTTGCAATGAGATGCTTGAGACTTAATGGGAAGAAAAGACCAACAATGAAAGAGGTTTCAGCAGAATTAGAAGCTTTGAGAAAGATACAAAGTTCCTTACAGATTAACCATGATCATGAGTCAACAAATGATGGACCATTGCTTAAGCACGCTACTAGTGACACAGTCCAAGAATCTAGAGAGGAAAGCATTTCACTCTTCTTGGAACCAGAGTCCACATCCTTCTAAGTGAATTTTAACAACTCCATCATATGTATATATGTGTCTGTATGTGTATGTTATCACAATCTCAGCTGTTATTTTCAAATCAACGGTTAAAACTCCATATTTTTTCCTTTGAAGTGCACCCTAGGAGACAAATTCTTTCATAAGATGCTTCACTATCGACAATGATCAAGTCATCCCTTTATGTACATCATGTTCTAGAGAATTTTTCATTTTCACCATCCCATATTTTGATTTTTCATTTACCATTTGGCATGCGTAGCTCATTTGTCCTCAAACTACTTAACCTATATTTAGGCAGACAGCAAGATGTACTAGAATTAAATGTAAACCTTTGTGTTGCACGGTATAAAAATGTTTTACATTTTGGTTAATTGAATAACATGTCACCACCTCCTTGAACATATTCTTATTCCATAACACTTGCAGGCAAATTTTCTTGTATTCTTATTCGTAATCAACAATTTATGATGTTCCTTTGCTTTTTATATTTTAACATGATTTCATAAAAGGAATCTGATATGAATCCAACCAAACTACAGAGATCTGGTAATGCCTTATTTAAGGCTCCTACATATCCCAACGACAACAAGCTGGAAATAGCATACAAGAATCAATCTAATATAGTAAAATCAAGAGAATTGATAGAAGACATAAGCATCTAGGCTCAATGTCAAATTAACAGTGAAATTAGTGTCAACCACACACCAGGCTTCATCAAGAATCGCAAATATTCCTCCAGGATTCTACAAAGACTGAATGATCTAATCATTTCCTGAATTTGTTTTCTAGGAAAATAAATAGAGTATTTTTATATGACTAAATAAAACATTACATTAACCAAATGATGGTAGTTCAGTTGGCCCATGAGAGCGGAATAAGTAGAGGGTGAGCATGCGTTCAATCCTCTCAATACCATCTTTGGAAAAGGTTTAAAGCTTTAATCTTGCATCCGCCTTAAACAGGATTGCCTCCGGTGGAGGATACTTGTGATTTATAAAAAAATAAAACACTACAATTCAATAACACTGGACAAGCTATGCATTTTGAAAATGGGTTGAAGATGGTTCACAGAATGGGTATTGGTGATTATTTGCTCAACTCTTGAATTCAAAGATCTTCACAACAGTTAAAGTTAGACCACATAGTCGGCGTGCACATCTTGTTGCATTAGTTTTAAGGCTTTTGCATCAATTAGATAAAATGTTTTTGAAATTGCATTAAATTTTGTAATAGAGACAGAGAGGGATAAAAACAACAAAAAACAAAATTTCTCCTTTAATCTTGCACTCATGTAATGTATTGAAATACGCAGCATCGATGTCTATACAAAATAGTATACCTTTGATGCTTTGGTGGCACAAAACGCCATAGGTCAACAACTATATGTAGTATGTACCATCTCTTTCTTCTTGAAATGGTGGTGTGGGTTGATCCTCCTCCTCAAATGCATCCTTGTTGCAAATGAAGAAAGAGAAGACAAAAGTTTTAAAAAAGAGATTGTACTACTGAGAGTCTGAATCTGTCACTAGGATTATTACCATTAAAATTGTCCCGGTTATTGACCCGATTGAGGTACTAGGTTACTAGTTCAATCGCATGACCTGATAATTATATGTAATTTTATAATTTATATTAAAAAATTATAAATATACTTAAATATCTAAAAAAAATAAATATTTCAAATATTTTAATATAAAAAATAATAAATCACATATTATTATCTAATAAAAGATCAAACAAAAATATAATGATCGTGATACGGGGCTTTATGTTCAGAAAACGATATCTCTAACTATAAATTATTTCAAAATTTTCTGTATAGTATATAATTGAGATAATATTAGTGTTGTAGGTACATAACTTATGTAAGTTAATAAGCAAAAAAATATTCAAATATGTCCGTCATGATTTTTTTTTTTTTTAAAAATTGGAATGTTTTTTTGTTGAGACCGGGCCGGGTCACCGGTTTTTTATGAAAACCGATCGGATCGGACTGGGTCACACCGATTCTGATGTATGGCCTGTCCGTTGCTTCAACCGGACCGGTTATATGACCGGTTCCCAAATCGACCCGACCGGTTCGGTTTTAATAATTATGATTATTACAATCCTATTTGACTTTGACCGTGTTTTATTAAAAAAAGAAATATTTTTTTTCATTTATATCTTTGTTTTCTTCTAAATCCCTTTTCAATTCTTTTTTCTTTTTCTTTTTGGAAATTGAGCACAAGCTCCCGGTCCAAAAAAAAAAAAAATAAGCTTCTGTCACTGATGCTCGTGCTTCAAAATTGATTTAATTTTATTATAAATAGATTTGGATGAGAATGGAATACTTATATTTTCAAACTTTTTATAAATTATATTACGTACTTTTATACATAGTATATGGAATTTATTATTCTTATGTTATATAAGATAGAATCTATCTTCTACGCACACAAATTTAAGATGGGTCACATTTTATTTTTACTCTCTCTTCCCTTAAAAGTGAACCTGACCTGCACAAATGAGTCTGTAGGAGACAAGTATTATCTTCTAATGCATGAGAAAACTATTACCCATAGTATAAAAAAAGTTTATAAATATAATATTCTTCATTATAAATATAGCGTTCACTTTTTTTGTAAATAAATGCAGATAAATTATCTATATTAAACTTAAAATGATATTGTTTTGGAGTGAAAATTAAGGTATTTTTATAAATAAAATTTATTTTTATTATAATAATTTTTATCATTATAATTTTATAATCTTTTAACTCAAAATGACGTGATTTTGAGAATTAATATAGATAATTTATTTATATATTATAAAAATATTAAAGTTATAAATATATAAATAAAAAAAATATGAAAACTCAAGTAATTTGACTTGATTAGCATGTAACCCTTCCCTTATGTGCAAAGTTTGAAATCTAGGAATATAATTGCGATGAAATATTTTGTCACAATTTTCAAAATTAATTTAACCAAAAAATCGATATCTGCTTTGTATTGGTTGAACTTGATTTTTGACCAGTCATTAATTTTTGATTGAATTGCATGATTGATTGGTTAATTGATTGAATTAGACCGATTAGTGAATCGGGTCCTGGTTCGACCAGCCTAGCTAGGCCAATTTTTATAACACTAGTGGAACCCTTCTCTTTTGATGGTTTGTGATCGAAAATGTCTACTTTTTTAATATGAGTATTATTTTTTTCATGTTACGCATATATAAAATATAATGTGTCCCATTAAATAGAGGAGAAACATAAAATGCAACTCTGTATGCACGAGAGAATTTCTCGTAACATATATTATAAATAGATTTGGAACTACTTAGAAACAGATTTTCTATTTTAATGTTTTTTTTTTTTTCAGAAAATAAAATAAAATTCTAGACTTATACCCGTCAATGTCGGTTGTTATTTGTAAAGGGTAAATTTTGCACGCCAACAATACGAAACTCATTGTGAGAGTCGCGCATGAAAATCATATAATTATTGTTTCCATGTGAGACTCGTGTGAGAAACAAACATAAATCAAAAAGTCAAAATCAAACTTGAGTTAGAAACAATAGGGGTAACAATCACATCATAATCAAAAGGTTTTTATAAAAATTACTTATGTTATAGGAAAAGTGATTGTATAATGTTATAGAGATTTGTTTTGCGTATTGTAATTTTTTTTTTTCTTCAAAAAGTGTGGGCCTTACAAAATATTGTGTGTGTAGAAAAATTTATTGTGTCATGTTAAATGACAAATACAAATCCATAATCAAAATGATATATTTCTATAAAATCAGACTTGAGTGACTAATGCAGACCCCTGATCAAAATGATATATTTTCATAAAATCAGACTTGAGTGACAAATAAGTTATTTTAATAAGCAAACAGATATAGTTCCACTTGGGTCTTTTATGGAAAAATATGAATTAGTCTCGTATGATTTTCTTGCGGGACATTCATGCTAATGATGAATTTTACATTGTTGGACGTGTAAGACTTGTCCCATATGATAATATGTGGAATTGATCGCTTTAGTTTTTTTTTTTTTTTTTTTTGAAAAACGTATTAAAGTGAGATATCTTTATATCAAACACTGTATAATAATAATAATAATAATAAACCAAATATATTGACTGAAAATGTGATGAAGATAACAATCAATACAAAAAGTGAAAAATATTTCTACTATAATATGGGATAAATTTATGTTCTACATTCTAAGATGATATTATTATGAGATTTGAAAAAAAAAATACACCACATTTCGAGAATTTTAATTCTCTCTTGCAGTAATTTTTTTTTAAATATCCTGAATTTCATTTTTCAAATTTTAAAATGATATCGTTTTTTGGGTTAAAAAAATAACTTTATCTAGTATGATAAGAAAAACATTTGTATAAAAAAAACACAAAGTAAAAAAAGGAAAATGATATATTTACAAACCTTTTGTTTACAAACTACATTCTGTGTCTGATTGGTAATACACTCTTGAGTAGAGTATTATTGCCGAACATAATGTAATTTATAAATTTGTAAAAAAAAAAAAAATTGTAAACGAAGACCCATACAAAAATCACCTCAAACAATATATGGTCCTCTCAAACTTGTTTCTTTCTCTTTTTTCCCTCATTGCATTAGTTATGCAATCCGTTCTTCCATTATTGTGCTCCTAAGCCCACCATAGATCTAAGATCGTTTAAGCTTTTAATCAATGACTTTTACTTTAGCAGAGTGAGGTAAGCTTGGAAGCCTTGGGTTTGGAAGAGTTGAACTTGGATTTTTGAAGAAAGGTTTTCGGCCTGGTGTGATATATTTAAAGGTGTTTGCATTTCTCATTTAACATGATACAACAAACGTTTCTATACACACAATATTTTGTGGGGCCCACACTCTTTGAAGAAAAAAAAATTACGGCACGCAAAACGAATCTCTATAACATTACACAATTAATTTTCCTACAACATAACTCTTATAAAACTCATATTTAAAAGTTGGGTGAGAATTACATGATTCTAAGAACTCGTTTGTATTGGCTTTTTAAGAAAGTTTTTTTTATCATTTTCTTAATTTAAAAGTACTTTCTAAAAAAATTACAACTATTTAGATTTTTTAAAAAAATATTTGATTTTTGAAAAAAAATATTTGACTTTTGACTTCTGCTTTTTTTAAAAGCTAAAAATTTTAAATTCTGAAAAAAAGTAGATTTTTGACTTTTTTTTATGACTTCTGCTTTTTTTAAAAGCAGACATTCAAATAGACTATTTTTTTAGAATTGGAACTTTTGAAAAAAAAAAACAAATTCATCCAAACAACTCTAAAACTAAGTCGAAAGTGTTTGCCCATCCAATCATTATAAATCACTCTTCTCTCTCTGAACTCAACTTCACTGTACATTCACGTGTTCCAACAGTACTTGCTGCTCTTAACAAGGCAAATCCCCTCACATTAGTGTTGTCGGGTACTAAACAAAAATACATAATTAGTAATATTAGTTTGGGAAATCAATTTTTTAGTAAGTGGTGGGCTCCATCATTTATTGTATTTATGACATAAGAAATGATATTTCATGTGACATGAGAAAAGAAAAATCCTATTAGTTTTGCTCTATAAGAGAAAATAAAGAACTCTCTTACCATATAGAATTCTTAGGGTAAATACGAATGTCATTAGCCTAACAAACTAATGACTAGCTGGAGCAGCAAATCAGACGTCACATCGATTATTGGATGAAAACATTTTGTTAAATGATTTTTTAATATGTTTTGCAGAGTTGTGCTTTAGTTTTTGCTTCATATTAGGACTCATATAGCAAGTAATTGCTAACCTTTTGGCATGTGTTATGCCAATGTTATAATTTTGAATAGTTTCACTAAAAAAAACAAAAAATGAAGAAGTAAATCATGTCATCACTATATAAAGAAGACTCAAAACCAATGTATGATTATTTCCTCCATTATTTCTTAAGTTTATTGATCAAATATTGATTTGAGTATCGAATTACCTCGCAAATATCTCTTCTCATCTATCCCAATTAAGCCAGGATCTCCAGCACCAGTACAATCATCGTGATATCCATCTCTTGACATCTCTCATCATATCCCATTGCAAACTCAGCTCACACTTCAATTGAACCAGACTGAATCGTGTATGATCAAACCCAATATCTTTGGATTGATCATGTTCCAAGTATCATACATGAAAAAAAAATATATATATATATATATATATATATTTGATCTTGAATTTCTGCACAAATTCATACACATTTGAACCATGTATGTTCTAGACCTTGATGCTTTCTGTATCCTATATGTGAAATGAAATACTTGAAATTCAACCGACCCCGGGTCTTCTTCTTTTCTTTTTTTGAAGTTAGCGGTATAAACGAGTTTTGTATCATATAAGGCCCGTCTATTTTATAGATATTTTTATTGATCAGTAAGAGTAATGACACTAATTTTGAATTTTGTATCAAAAAGAATATTCATTTAATAATCCATTTTTTCAAAAAAAAAAAATGGATTGTTAAATTTGATTATGAATCAATTCAAATAGATATAAAAATTATATTTATATAGATTCATAAAATCAAAAATTAGATGCTAAGAAAAAAGACGATTTTGTTGATTCATTTTTGATCGAATGGATATAGTATTGAATTAGGATCAATGCTTGAGAATAGAAATAATGCACGCGCATTTATGTAGGTATCCATTTTTGTTCATATATCATAATCATATATGTTATATATGTTACGGTAAATAATAGAAAATGTAATAGATTTCCGAATTTTAAATCGCGGATACATACATATCCTTACTATACTAAAACAACTTAAAGATCTTAGAGTGTCTAGAATTGGGCCAGGAGGGTCTGTTAACACCTTTTTTCTTCTCATCGGAGTTATTTCACAAAGACTTGTCATGGTAAAGAAGAAGGGGAAACAAGTACACTTGGAGAGCGCAATACAACGGATAGTTGTATGCCGCGTTCAAATGTTTGCATCTTGACACATCCAGAGAGGAAAGCATTTCACTATTCTTACAAATAGAGGTCACATCCTTCTAAGACACCGGATTCATACCAGATTCTTTGTTAATGATTTGTGTTTCGTTTTCAGCATGTGCATGAAGAGTTATCCCCTAACCGAAAGATGTATATACCAAATATGACATTATTCAAATTTCTCACAAGGATATCAGTCTAAATTTGGCTCATTGATAATAGAAAATTCACATAAGCCTTTATTTTTTTTTGGTTGCTCAATCTTCATAACAATAGAAAATTCACATAAGCATTTCATCTTTTTTCCCCTCTAAAATAATGTCAAGCATTTAAAACATAAAATCAACATTGATTTAGCAAAAGGTCACATCATCTCCTACGTTTACAAATTGCTAATCTAAAAACCATGCAACTTCGCCTACAACCTTTCCACAGGTCACAACAGTTATACAAGGTTATCAACAGCAAATAATTTCTTCAAATCTACAAGCTGGCACGGTGATCATCAGATATGGTCTCTTCAGAAGAAGTGTCACTATCAATGATGATCAAGTCATCTGGTTTGCTGACATGATGTTCCAGAGACTTGTTCATTTTCAGCATCCCATATTTTCTTCTTGAATAGGTTGAATAGAGAGAACCATTTGACATATGTACCTCATTTGTTCTCAAACCATTTAACCAATTTTGAGGCAGAAAGCATGACTTGCCAGCATTAAAGCAATGCTCTGCTGAAGATCCCAGCATCTCTGGATGAGAACTCAATGAAACAGCTGAAGAAAGATTTTGCTCAACTGAATTTGAAGGAGGAGCAATAACTGCTTCTCTGAGCCAGTGTGGCAAATTATTCTTTGCAGCCGAACAATTAAAGGGATAATCATGTGAATGAGAATTTTCCCTGGGAATACTCAAGTTTCCTGGAGCATTGAAAAATCCCCATTCATACTTATCTACATTGTTGTTGTAAGAGGTCCTCCTGGAATGAATAGTTGGCCTATGACTGTGTATTGTGGAGTTACTTTGAAAATTTAACCTTGCAAGAGATTTCTTCAAGGGGTTACTCTCCCTGTAAGAAAATACATCTCCAAGTGACAGCTTAGTCTCCTCCATTGTATTTTGTCCCCAAAAAAATGATTTGGGATCTAAGGAGCAAAAGTTTGCTTGCAATGCTGCTGCTGCTGCTGCCATTTCTGCCTTTGGATACATGAATTGTGGGACACCAATATCATTTGAAAGTTTAAATTGTTCATCCTCCCACCGCTCAGCCAGGTCCCCGGGTACCCTTAATGGTGAAAACCGCAATCTTGGATCCCTTAGCATAGCATCCCAATTGCCCCTTCCATGTCTCCTCACACCAATCCATAGAAAATCCAACTCCTCTTCAGACCACATGATAGTGTGCGGCTTCAAATTTTCTTGAAAATTGCCTCTTTCATTTAGAGCTCTTGCTCTGTTTACAATGTTGTCAAGCACTACCTTATGCCTGAGAATAACTGGTTTCTGGTTTGGTGAAGGCTGACACAATTGATCTTGGACAATATCTCTAGTTTCAGTGGTTGAATTCGACAACGGCAATACTGACAAGCAATTAATGGAATCACAGCCGTCAGTCTTAAGCTCCACAGGTAAAGGCAAACCCAAAGAAAGAGAAAGGATTGGCACTGATTTTGGTTGATTAGTTTTAGTTTGTTGAACATTCACTATTTCATCAGATGTCATGCAACCAGCTGACTGAGGCCAAGTAATACTTGAGAAAACACCATTATCAACCTTTCCTTCTGAAATCACCTGGATATTTAAGAGGACAAGGAAAACTGCATATCAATAATGGGCAACACGCCAACACTATCATCTTGAGAAGGCAAAATATAACATGAACTTCATGGTTAATAATTTACAAACACCCCACATGACACAAGCAGAAAAGGATGAGAAATGCTGCACTTGGGAAGTAAGAATAAGTGCATATTAACCATTTTTATGGGATAAAAAATTCCAATTTAGGAAGTCTTGATAGACATATTTCCAATTAGGGATAAAACATACATATCTCCAATTAGGGGGGGGGGGGGGGGGGGGGGGAATGTCCTATCCAGTTAGTCTTTGGTTAACTGTTAATGATTCTTTCCAGCTTCGGTTAATTCTTCCTAAATTGAAAATATGTTTGCCGGGATTCCCAACGTCCTAATTCGCTCTTTCAAAAATATGATATATCATCATCTTTGAAGTCATAGAGATGTGAAGACATCCTTTTGTACCTGTGTATTACTAGAATTTAAAAATTCCAGTTGAGAAACTTGGTCTTTGGCAATTGCAGAACTACTGCTTGTAGATTCCAAATTGTCTCCAAGAGTTCTCGTCCTCGAATGAAGGGGATGCTCGTCAGCACCCAAGTTACAATCAACAGTGTGCTCTTCTGTACCACATGAAAATGCTATATGAACTCTTTAAATAAAATGCACAAATGCATGTTAAAGCTTTCGTGAGAAAAATAAATCACCAACACAACAACATCATAACAAAATATTCAGATTCATCATTTAGATGTTTAAGGCTAAGTGACAAATAATACCTGCAGATTCATCATTTACATTTTGAATGGCCTCTCTTACAGACAGCTGAGACTTCTCTGGTTCCTGATCAGTAGTTGTAGCAGCAGGACCGGGATCTCTAGAATCAACTTTGATAGAGACTCCTTGAAAATCCTTATGAAGAAATTGGGCATCCTTGTGAATCAGGCAACACTGCCTTGGTACTTCTGTTACAGCCGTATGAGATAAAGTTTTTACAATGTCTTCTCCATGATGCAGTTGCTCTCTCACGTGTGTCATACTGTTAGAATGAACACATTGATATACAATTTTTTCTTCCAGTAACCAATGATTTTCTATTGGATTATAATATTAAAAAACTTGCACAGTTTATTGAGTGTTATAGAAATATACCAGGATTCAGAAACAACTCCACAAGTGCAAGGAGAGTCAGCATTTTTCACCTGTCATAAAATTAAAAACTACTGTGATTCACATGAAGTCTGTAATCAATTATTGATTGGTAGACAAATAAATTTCAAAATTTGTCACAAATTCATCAACTCTTTGAGACTGAGCAAATTTCATGATCAAGATTTCCAGTGCACTGCCTATTATTTTAGAGTTCTCTTACTTTTCTCTGCATTGTATACAAGATGTTTAACTCTCATGTCCTTTGAGCTATCTATCTTTTGACTGATTTCTTTGTCATACATCCCCTTGAAAGGTATTAGGCAACGAAAAGGATTAAAAGAGGATATAGATACACAACCATCTATCCAAGTACAATACTGAATTCTAAACCTAATCAACAAACTTTTTTAAACTAATTTCATTGCAGAACACGGCACAAAAATCAACAATGGACAATTACTCAGGTCAATTACAAGATGATTTTAGTCAAGATCTAAAAGCAAACATCAACATCAAGAACACATTTATGCCCAATTAGTTGGGGTCGACATCTAAAAACAAACAATTACACATAAATATACAAATCTATTGAATACATGGATAAAAAATACTTGCACTGACCGACCAATAATGTTTCATTAGAAGTCTACATGTTTGTTTTGACACGGGTTCTCCACACCCAAACTCCATGTTGCACAACATACACTAGTCACAGAATTTGCGAACAAAGTTAAAGTCCCTTTTTCAAAGTGGATTATAGGTTTTACAAAATTTCAATCCAACATAAGCAAAAAGATATGATTCAATGCTTTTGACCAGTCAACATTAGATTAGCAATGGGGAAAAAAGGATTATCCTAAAATGTGCTCAAAATATTAGTACAAAATTTAGTAAGCTTCTATGAAATAGAATGCCCTCCTAAGACATTTAACATTTCATAGTTCATGAATCAACAGGAATTTTGAGTAACAAACCATAAGGTTTAAGAGAATCACCAGGAAGCCATACTTTTTCTTGAGTTTGATAAAGCTCCCCTATATCTGAAAGCTCTGTTGATTGATTAAGGTCTGTTAGAAAAACCATAGAGCAGCTTCTTAAAGATGTTTTGTCTTGTATTTGATTCAATGGCTTCCCGCTTTCTGAAAGCTCCATGGACAGATTAAGGTCTGGTACATTATCTACAGGACATTCCTCACAAGATGATTCATCGCTCGAACATGGATTACCATTTGCAAGCATGCTCCACTTGGTTAGCACTGGAATGTTTTCCTTCTCGTGCAACAACTTGCTTTGCCTATCAGTCCCATCCAAACACTTTTTTCTTTTATAACATCGATTGAAGGTTATTAATGGACTGGTCAAGTTGGTCTGCATAACAATATGTTCAGATGGGTTCTTTAAATTGTCTTTGGAAGGTGAATCAGTAAATTCTTCCATTGACTTATTCAAAACAGGAGAATCATTGCCACATGCAGAACTGGATTCCCTTGTAACAGATGTTTTGGAGTTGACCAAATTGAACCCATTCCCACCATCCAATTCAACTGACGGGGAAATAATTTTTTTATTAGAGCAATTGTCACATTCATTACCGGAGTTTTCACCGGCATAAGAATTTCTCAGAGTGCCACAATCATTCTGTGAAGCCTTTTCTACCGGGGGTAACTCACCAGCATCCCTCTTGAAATTATCCTCACATGGATCTCTTGTTGAACATGAATTTTGTGTAGTAACTATCACTTCTGTTGCATCATATTTTCCAAGCTCTCCTGCATTAAGGCCACCAGGGTTTTGGATTGGAAGCAATGATGAACAATCTGACTGTTTGACGATTCCAAGGCACAGCTTTTTACCATCATCAGTATTCTATGAAATATAGAGATAGACAGATGAGCAAGCATGTCAGCATTCATTCACAAGAGCTCTCCATACAACAAGCAATTAAGTCAATCCATGCCAAAATAAGAAAATTGAAAAGGAAGTTATCCCAACAAATATTCTGTTTTTACCACCAGAAATAATTGACATAATTAGAAATTGACAATTATATTGTATGATAGATAGCAGTTATCACAATGCATCAAATCACCGGTGAAATCACGTGAAACAAATCCAAGAGATACCTATATGAAATTTCATAGCCGATAAGTTTCTCGCTTTCTCTAGCATTATTCTTTAAAAAAGAAAAAGAAAAAATCAACTATAGTATTCTTTGTGGCTCTGATATCTTAGCTCTTACATCTTTACAACCTTTCTAACTAAGATATTCACCTCCCTGACCCATAACCATGACAATACGGTAAAATTTTAGGTTGTTTAAACTTGTTATTTGGTTATCATCTCTCTTCATTCCTTCCCCTCAAATTCAAAAATTTGTATTTACGCTTTCTTTCTTTCTCGTGTTATACAGTATATTGCAATTAAAAGGGTCTTAACTAAGCAGAAAAGGGTTCAATCTGATCCATCCTCAGAAGAGGCCAAGCTTTTATTTAGAAAGAGCTTCTCAGTCACAGGTAAGAGTTGCCAGTTGTGGGTTGAAAAAATACTACATTATTGCAGCAAAAGCTTAGAAAATCATAGGAGCCGTATACTCATCATACATCAACGCATTTAAATCAAGGATTTTGTAAAAGTAAAAAACCATTTTTATTTGGTACAAAATATATTAATCAACCTAACCACTAGCTAGAAGTTTATACCAAGAGTTATAAGGGGCTTGACAAATCTAGCTACATATAGAATTGTAGGGGGGGAAAGAAACAAATATGCTTGATGCTCCACAAACAAATCAAAGAAACCAAAAGTTGCAGTTTAAGAATCTCACCTTTGATTTTTCTGAATTTGGGCTACAATTCCCATGGATAAAGCTACTACTTAGAGATTGTCGCTTTCTTTTGTAGGTTAGAAACACTTTGCTGCCAAACATTTATACTTATCTGAAAAGAACTCCTGCACTACTGGATGCTAGGCTTCAGGCACTAAAGACAGAATTAAATATGGGTCACGACGTGCATAAATGTCAGCTAACTTGGGCATGTAAAACTAACAACCTGAAAGGGAGAGAGAGTCAAAAGTGATAGCGTAAAAGACAAGAAAGGCTTAAAAGGGAAATGCAAGAGATAGAGTAGTCAACCAGGAAAAAAAGCAACAGATGCAATTGTGTTAAGACATCAGAAAAAAAGAATGATATCCAGATTTCTTTTGATATATAAACAGGGCCGATGCCCAAAGAAGAGGGAAATTATAAATCAACTACATGAGTATGGAGAGCCCCTAACCCGTCTCCCAACAGAATGAAGGCCATTCCATGGAGGGTAGTAGGGTGTTCAGAATTCAATTCGTCAGTCCAGAATATTATGGATATAGTGCAATAAATGACATATAGATTGAATAAATCTCACAACTCACAGGAAACTTATCTCACAAGATTTTGGAATTTTGACAGCATATATCTTCAGTCTATAAAGCCAGTTCAAAGTCCTTTTCTATAGTGCCCTTCTAATTTAACCTGTAAGTTAGTTCAAAAGTTCTTCAGGGATTGTAATTGGCATCATCTAATATGAATGCATGCAAGAAGGGTAAACAAGTTTCACCACAAGCATATGAAATATTATTATTTAAAACTCCATTAGAAGCTTTAAGGAGCATGATGTGATGGTAGAAAATCTTAAAGTGGTTTTAGTAACAGGGAGTTTTCATTATTATTATATGCAAAAACAAAATGGAAGCTCGCATATTTTATAATTTATACAAATCAAATGACTAGCAGCGCAAGGGACATCATTGTTGCCAAAATAATGATGTAGATATTCAAGAAGCTAAAATAAAAAATGTCCATTTTTTTTAACAGAGAAGTTCAAGACAGATCTGAATAAGGTGCAACGCAACATCCATAAACTCTAGGAATTCATGATTCTCTCTGAGTCTTTCTCCTTGGGCAACCAAAAATTCTGAAAGAACCTTAGCCAAAAATAGCAACAAGTGGACCAATAAAGGCATTTCTGAGGTTGTCTTATTAACATTAATTCCCATATTGAGGCAATCCCTAACTGGAGAAACTTCTACAATTGCGTCTTCAAAAACAAGATTTTTTCCTTCAATGACCATAGTACCATAATTACCATTAATCATGAACAAGATTTTCTCATTTACCACAAGATGAAAATACAAATTCCATTGAATGCCTTTGCAAGTGAAGAAAGTCTATCCTTTCTTTAAATGAGAAAAGACACAGACACAAAAACTCTCTCCTAACCTAGCTTCTACCAAGTCACCACCATTGACACTTCATGATTTTTCAAAGCACAACCATGACAATGCTTCATTTGATACGGCAAGAGTTTGTAAGAAAAAAGAAAGAAAACCAAACACAGCACAAAAAATTAAAAATTAAAAATAATATAAAAGAACGAAACTTTACTCATAAATTGAAGCTTAACGCATTTCAGACAAAAACCCCACCATTTTTTTTCTTTATAAACAAAAAAGAAAAAAAAAAGATTCCTAGCAGCTAGACCTAACAGAAAAATGGGTCCATTTACATTGAAGAATCATGAGTTTTCATTAACTGTTCACCCATTTTCTACACACCCCAAAAAAAAAAAAGATTGTTAAATTTTAAGTCATGTAGTTAGCAAAAAGAATCAAACTTTGGCAAGCAATGAACCCAAAAACATAAAAATAAAATAAAATAAAAATGAAGAAGAAATTATAAAATTGGAGAACTAAAAAAACCAAAACCAAAACCAGCTTACAGATGATGAAAGAAGACAACGGTGAAGGGAGCATACCCAAAAGTAAAAAGCTTTTCGTATGTCAGTGTCTGTGTTTATCTACTCTCTAGTGCTTTGAGAAATGTGGCAACATCAATAGCAGAGTGTCCTTGTTCCTGTTTTTCATTTTCCTTCTTGCACTTAATAATAGATAGCAACAACATGAGCCACATTCACTGATAGAAACGTTTTTTGTTTTTGTTTTTGTTTTTGCTTGCGTTTTCACATATAATGATTGACACGTCACTACCCACGGGTTACAGTGTAGGCCCAGCAACTCATAAGGCCCATTGTTTCAACCCAACTTTAGCGACAAAATAGACCCACACTCACACTCAAGATACCCTACTTTGGGGCCATAAAATCAAATTCTAGGTGTGTTTGATTGTGTTTTGGTTTTTTTGTTTTTAAAATTGTTTTGTAGAATAATTATGAAAATAATTGTTTTCTATGTTTTTTTGTTTTGAAAGTTGAAAACAAAAACAACTCAGACATGTTCTCTAAATTTGATTCTAAAAACAAAAAAATAGTTACAGTCTTTAAATTTTTTTTTTACAAAACAAGTTTTACCAAACGAGTTTTTTTATTTTTTTTTTCTGAAAACTAAAAAACTGTTTTTAAAAACAGTAATCAATCAGAGCCTCTATTTTTCTATCTTATCTCATGTACAGGGTAACTTATATTTATAAAAAAAAAAAATTATAAATTTTTACAAATTATACTATCTTCTCTTTGAAGAATACTAAGTTTTACTATGTTCTATCAGAAAAAGATAATGTAATTTTTAAAAATTTATCAAAAAAAAATTGTAAATATATCCTTTCCCCTTGTATATTGTCATGTTCACCGGAACAACTGCCAAAGTCATGTTATTTCTTTCTTTCTTTTCTTAAAATCGGTTTTATCCGACTAATCCGTTCAAATAGGTTGGATTTATTGTAAGAGATAACTTTTACAATACTATTTTTTTCATTTCAAGATTCGAAATATAAATTCGGTCAAAATCATGTTATTTTACTTTGCGTTTGGTATTATTGAAATTGAATTGAATTTTGTTTTATTTAACTAAGTAAATAATTCTGTTTATAGAACTCATGTGAGAAGAATATGGTTTATATTTCTTTGTAAATTTTGTTTTCTGACCTTTAGTTAGAATACGTATAATGAATAAACAAATACGAGTAAAATTGCCAATTCAAATAATTAAAACGTAATCAAATTAAATTCACTTGAATTTAATTAAAATTAATGTATGAGATGTGCCTCCGCATGGGACAATGGTAAGTAAAAAGTATAAAATAGGATTTACATAAAAAACGAAGTAGTTTACATCAAAAACGAAGGACACTTTCATGTTTTTTCTATAATTTTGTTTTATTTATTTATTTATCAATAAAATTTTATATAATATATATTTCTCTTTCTCCCCGTTACTGTGGCACAATTGAGCCTGATTAGTTTACGTCTGAAAACGAAGGGGCACTTTCATATTTTTTTTTATAATTTGGTTTAATAAATTTTGCCAGCAAAATTTCAATCTTAATATTTGTCATTTAAGATGAGTCGCCCATAGGGTCTTACAATGTTGTAAAAATCATACCGAACTAGCCGAGTTGACCCGGAACTTGGTAAATCGATCATCTGACCGATTTGATCATCAAATTGGATCAGCCAAGTACCAGACCCGATGCGACGACAGGTTTTGGTGAAAACCGGTGATTCGGCCCAGTTTTTTTTTTTAAAAAGAATTTCCAAAAAAAAATCACAATTGACATGTTTAAGTGATTTATTACTTATTAATTTACATAAGTTTTGTACCTACAATACTAATACTAATATTATTTCAGTTATTCGCATGAAATTTTGATTTGATTTATAGTTACAGATGTCGTTTACTGAACCTGAAACACCAATATCACATATTTGTTTGATTCTTTATTGGACAATAATGTATAATTTATTATTTTTATATATTAAAATATTTAGAATTTATATTATTTATTTAGTTATTTGAGTATGTTTATAATTTTTTTAGTATAAGTTATATTTTTTTTTTTAGTAGATGTATAAGTTATATATTTACATATAATCATCGGGTCACGCTGTTCAACCAGTGATCCACTGGTTGAACCAATGACCTAGTGACCCGGTACCTCGATTGGGTCAATGACCGAGCCGATTTTAATAACATTGGTATGTTATCCAAGTTGGGCATTTCGAATCTGCATGCTCCAACTCGAGGGGGAGTATTAGAGGAACAAACACTATTTTGGAAATATTATGCATTTAATGTATGCATAATTATAAAAATAGAATTAGTTGTCAGCATAATTAGCTAATATGTTAATATTCTACATTGAATATAATTAGTTGTCAGCATACCTATTATGATAATATTATGCATTGAATAGAATTAGTTGTAAGCATAATTATAGGAGTGGAATGAATGAAGGACAGTTAATAGTTTACATCAGAAAACGAAGGGACATTTTTTTTCTCTCTATAATTTGGTTTAATTAATTATTTGCCTACAAAATTTTCTATAATTTATTTCTCTTTCTCTCGCACTATATAAGGGTAATTAATGTGGCACATTGAGCCCGATTCTTGGTTGGATAATAAAATATGTTCTAGCTATCTGCACAGGAAAATTGGCCCAGTTCAATTGCTTCGTCATTATTTCCTTCAAAATTTATGGCATGTTTCACTCCCTTGGATTTCTGATTAACACCTCAAGCAATTGGGACAAAATGTGATTCACTATATCCATCCTTAATGAATTCTATTTTGTTTTTTTTTTTAAAGCTATTATATGAAGAGAAGAGTTTATATTAGTCAATCTTCTAAAACTAATATTAAGTCTTCAAATAATTTGATTAACCATAATTTTATGCGATCTGGATAATGAAATAATTTATGTTGTCAAATTATGCAAATATGCCCAAAACCATTAGTAATAACGACAATAATGGGGATCAGAAGACATGTAACAATGGTAATCAGAAGGATACTAATGTTCTAATCAAATCACATATAATTAGAACATACAGAATACATTAGAACATAAAGGCTTCATGATAACAAAAAGTTTTTTACATGACCAGAATACAACCATCTCAAAATTCATGATCCAAAAACATCACAGTATATATAAACTTTTCTCAATCTTCATGGCCTTAGTTGGTCTCAAACATGTAACCAAATCTGCATCCCCAACTGCTTCTCCCTTCTCTATTTCTGCAAGTTTGCTGGTAGAAGTTACTGCCAAATAATTAAAGCCTTCGTATAACATATTATCCCATCTATGACCAGAGACTATCCAGCTCTATGAATATCATCTTCGTCCTATAAATATCAAAAACACCTGAGATTATGCAGCTCTATGACTAGCATCTCCGTCCTCTTTCCAGATACTATATGTTCCTTAGAATCACTGATTCCACAAAGAAATCCAATAACGTCTACAAACACAATTTCCATTAGTTGTTATAGATGAATAATAATGCTTTTGAAGAAATGGAAGGGAACGTTACCAACTAGACACACAATGTCATTAAGATAGTTTTCAACATCCTCAAATTCCAGGAATGAAAAACCATTGACAGGAAGGTTGGCATTGACACTCAGCGTTACAGCAGTTCTTAGATTAAAAGTAAGCTTGTATTCATATTGCGTTTGCTTAAATTTTTAGAATTAAGGCCAACACCAAAATTCTATATGACATACATTTCACCCTTCGCTAGTTGATCTCTTATCCCCAGGGAACCATGTACAATTCCCTGAATCTTACCACCCTGTTAATACAAAAAGGAGGACCCATAAGCAATGTTTAATAATTGTAGGAATTAAAAAAAGACTAATATGCATGGCAGAAGCACGTAAAGTAGACACGTGACATTTTTGTCCCCTAGTAACTTCTCTCTTCTAGTAATAAATTTTAACAAATATTGAAACGCAAAGTTTAACCAGTGAACAGATGGATCTATCCTATTTAATAAATATGAATGAGTCGGCCATAAGGATATATACTATTATTATTTTTATTAATTTATTATTACTATAATTATTAACCGGTTAAGTGTGAAAATGAAACTGGTTTATAGGATGTAAAGTAGACACATGACATTTTTGTCATTGAGTGGCTTCTCTCTTCTAGTAATAAAGGTTGAGTAAATTGTCAAGAAACCATGATTCAAATCAAACGGCTTTCAAAATAATAATACATTAAAATTTTAAAACTTTTCAAATAAAGAATTTTATTTAAAAATCAAATGAACTTTCAAAATTAGTTATTCCTACTATGCTTGATTTTCCTCCCTTAAATAAAGATGGGTATGTTTTCTCGAATTGTTCTACTTCTCCATTAATTTATTTGAATATTTTGAGTGATTTAGTTCGAGTCTTGTGGTCTGTATATAACTATCATTTTTTAATATTAATTGTTTGAAAAAATATTTATCGTTTTAAAGGATGATCATTTTAGCAAAAATTAGTGTTTTTATTTAAAATTTAAATTAAAAAATACTCACTTTTCCCCTTGATTTTCATTATGTATATCTTTCTCTTACTTAAAAGTGCACAATTCTTTTTTTTGGTAGACAAAGTGCACAATTCTTTTTACTTTAAAAAGAAAAACGCCAAGCCCTTATTTTTTTTATTTTTAAAAATCTAACAATTTCAAAATTCGAATAAATTTCTTATCACTCAAATCAATAATTATTTGTGTCAACATTATTTTCTAAATTCATTCTTACTCCTACTTCTTTTCCTACCATTTAAATTTGATATTCTCAAAAATATTAAATACTAAAATGTACTCATAATAATAAATTTTGTCATAATACCTTTTAAAATATCATTATTTATGAATATAAGTAAGGGAAATACAAGTGTAAGAGACTTGTATATTTTATTATAGACCCTTGGATAATTGTACTATCATTCTCTCTTTTGTTTTTAGTGATGACCTCCATTAATTTATGACTTAGCATAAGATATGCTTCCTCCAAAAGATAATCCCTATAATTAATTATAGGGGTGTATGACTCTTCTATTGCATGAGTCATTTTTATTATCACAAACACACAAAAAAAAACACTAGGGACCCACAAAGTAAAATAAAAAATAAGAAAAAGAGCAGACACATAAGCCCTTAATTATATTCTCTTTTTTTTAGTATAAATTTATATTTCTTAAATCAAATCAGAATTGTTTTATCTTATTTTATTTTATTTTTATATTTGAGCAGCTAGAGTTAGTTGTTGGCATTTGGCAACAACATGTTCGGCGACACTATGGCTATGCATGACGCCATGACGGTGACCACTACGCGGAGAGAACGATGCGGGTAATAATAAATTAATAATAAACAAACAATAATTAAAAATTAAAAAAGCGGTTAATGAGTGGTTAAGCATAAAATTGATTTGTTAACTTCGACGTGGCGCATAACGGTTTCGTCGTGAAGCACCTTCTCTCTCCTCCACGTGGCAACCTCTCATATTTTCTCACGCTTTCTCTCCACTTTCCTGGAAAAAAAGTAAAGCGAAAAAGGAAAATGAGAAACCGCATCTGAAAACAATACCTTCCCCATCGTGATCACCAAACTCTTTTCCTTACATTCATCTAAGTTTCTTTTTTCTCCATATAGCATTCCAAATCACTCTCCATCTAACACCAACGAAGAGCTTCCGTTCGTTATTCTCCGTTCATCGATGGCGAATTGTCACCACCGCTCGAACTCTTCCACCAGTGAAATTTCTGTGTATTTGGACGCCGACAGTAGCGCCATTGCCTCTACTTCTTCAGGTAATGCTCTCTTTTTTTTCGCTATTTGTTTAATTTTTTGGAGATCGCGTCTTCCAATGCAATGCAAAGAGGTATTGTTATGATATAGAATTTAAAAAAAAAAAAATTCAAAATGTGGTTATATGTATTATTTTTCGTTTTGATTGGCCTTACGCAGGACATATTGACAGGAATTCATCAAATACGTCGCAGAATGTGGCAGGACCAGAAGCTAAAGGTGTTGTGGCTGAAGCTGAAGCTGAAGCTGAACCATCATCAAATCAGGGTCACCATAAGAGCAACGGAATCAGTGCATTGGTTGCTAAGTTCTTCGATGAGAATGTTCACCCGAAGAAAAAGGTTAGACAAAATCACTATCTTATGTTCTAAAAATTTTATGCAATTGCAAGCTTTTTTTTTTTGGTAATAATTTTCAGTAGGAATGTTGTTATTAGGGAAAATAGATTTATGCATCAATCAAGTTAGATGATCATGGTAGGGAAGTTCTAGCACTTATAAGCTTCCAATGCTGTTTTCAATGTGGACGGGCTGACAATCTGTTCTATAGCTCAATTTACCAAGAGCTACCATAATACTGTATTAATATGAACATAACTTCACTTTTTTTACCCTAGCCGTTTATTTTCATTTCTCTGTCTATTTTTTTCCTAATTTGAGCAGTAGTCTCTGACCAAAATCTTTCGGGCCATAAAGCAAACAGTATAGAATAAAATAATAATTAAAGAAAAAGGAAAGTAAAAATAAGTAAATGTGCAACAACCGCACATCCTTGGGAGTAGTAAAGTTTTAGTTATATATATGAGTTAAGTGTTTCTCTTGTTGTTATAACCCCAAAACTAAGTCATTTTAGGGTTGGTGAATTTTATTTTATTTTGTAATTTTGATGTATTTTGGGGTTATATTAATCTTTTACAAGACTTTTTTTCTAGATCTCAAAATGACATCATTTTGAGATTGGGGGATTTTTATTTTTTTTTGTTGGTAATTTTGGTTTATTATAGGGCTATATTAGTTTTTATGATAAGAAATTTATTTCTTTCAACCTCAAAACAACTTCGTTTTGAGCCATAGGAGAGAAGATATCTTCATTACTATTGGAGTATGGAAGACTTAGTACATCCATGCTAAAATTAGAAAAAAATAATATACTTAATTTTACTTTTTTCTCCCACCCATTTATGGTTATTGACACCTGAGTCCAATTTTTTCCTATTTTTAGTGAAGGAGTAGATATTTTTGTAGCACTGAAGATATGCTCCATAGTAGATAATTTTATCTCTGGTATATATATATATATATATTATTTTTCACTTATTTATTCTTTATTTTTCCTTAATTTATTCTTGATTTTATATGGATTCATCCTCCCAACTAGTTGTTTATAAAAGGTGATGATGTTGTAATACATCAAACGAGAAGTCCTTTTATGTCTTCTGTCACACACTGGATTAACACTAGCACTGAAGTATAGATTTATGTTAGAGGGGCCTCAAGCGTAGGAACAGTGACCAAAATGTCACTGTTCACCAAGTTTTTTACCTAAATGCCACGCGAACAGTGTTATTTTCCAATCTGCCACGAGGGCAAGTTCGCTACCCGGTGTAGCGAACTCAGTTTGCTGACGTGTCACGTTTCTAGTGGACACCAAGTTCGCTACCCAATGTAGCGACCTTCAAATATATATATATATATATTTTTAACTTGGTACTTGTTATTCACTAGAAACACGTCAGCAAACTGAGTTCGCTACACCGGGTAGTGAATTTGCTCCCGTGGCAGATTGGGAAGTAATACTGTTCGCGTGGCATTTAGGTAAAAAACTTGGTGAACAGTGACATTTTCGTCGGTGTTCCTCAAGCGTACGTATCCGCTTTATACATGGGAAGCACTGTGATTTGTCTATTGCCTTGTTATAGTGATATAACTTGCTGAGTATGCTGACAATCATTCTATATGCCTTGCATCTACTGATGTTACTTTAAATGATTTCTATGACTCTAAAATTGTAACTTGATGCTCTTAATTTCTATACTTGCTTAATTTTTTGAATCCTGGAAAATTGTTTTCAAATGATGTAGCTGAAATGGCTAAAACGGACGCCCATGGTTAAGAATGATGGTACTATTGAATTTGAAGTTCCAGGAGATATTAAACCACCTCAGTCTGTAGACACTGGAACGGGGGTTAATAATGAAGCTCAGCATGAATATTGTGAGCCAACACCCATTCCGGATATTCGGCCACTTCAAATTGTACTGGTTATAGTTGGCACACGGGGGGATGTCCAGCCATTTATTGCGATTGGGAAGCGTCTGCAGGTCTTTTTCATTCCTGATTTCTTAAGTTTTAGTTTTTACACAATGATCATTTACTTGAAGAATATATCTAGTACATCATTACATTGTTCGCATGCTTAGGATTATGACTTCCTTTGGAGGAAAGGCATTAAGCTTATGGAAACAATTGGGGTTTGAAGGTTTAATTTTACTCTGTCAACGTTTCAGAACAGTAGAAATTAAGTTATTAGTTCTATTTGCTAAAGTTATATTCAAGGTTTAAAATTGCAGTTGCGATCATGGTTGCGATTGCAGCGTTAACAAGCTGATGCGGTTCGCAATTGTGTAGTGCAACAATATGATGCAGTCTGTAATTTAAAACCTTGGTTATATTAATGGCAGGTTCTTTTCTAAAACTACAGTTAGAAACATGATACTTTGGACACCTTTTGCCAGTCTTGCTAAATCCATGGACTAAACATTAAAATAAATAAAATTTAACAAATGTTGGATGAAACCCTTATTTGTTTGCAAAATATATTTGCACTAAGCAAATATTTTCTAATTTGCTACTTCTAATGCTAAGACCCTACTTTGGCTTGCTTAATTGCTTTCAAAATCCTTGCCACATAACTGGTCTCCTCTTCGTAATGTGCAGTTCAGGTTTTCCTTTGCATGTGGATACCAAGCTTACGTTAGGTTTACGCTTTTAACTTTTACAATTTATTTCAGATGATCTTTCATGTGATATCTCTACCTCTTCCAATAATTTCAAAATCACATGGTTTTACTTTTCTCTCTTATGCTATCCAAGTCAAAACTGTTGTTGTCTGTTGTAGTTCATAAGGAAAAGGCAGCTTTGTTCCTTTGACAGATACTTGAATAGGATTAAAGAATCTTTATAGTTGCACAACTTGTACCCAAAAAAATAGGATCTTGCAACTACAGTAAACCTTGCTTCTGATACGAAGCTTGGTAGAGTCTCACCCCAAAAGTTAGTTTGTAAGGTAACAGGGCCCAAACTCCATATAAATCTCAACACTAGAACCTTATGTTTCCGATGTGGAACTCCAAGTCCCATACCTTACAACTGGATTGTAACATCCCACCATGCTATGCAGTCCCGGCGCCTATGTGGGTTGGCTTGGCGCTAGTTTTTCACTATCCCCGGGTGAACACTGCAATGCCAGCGCTACCAGTCGCGTTGCTCGATTGCAATTAGGAGACATAGTGGAAGCTCTAATACCAATTGATACGAACTTTGGGAGAACCTCACCCCAAAAGCTAGTTTATAAGGTAGGAGAGCTCAAAGTCCATATAAACCCCACACCTGAACCTTATGTTTCTCCGATGTGAGACTCCAAGTCCCATACCTTACAATTGAATCGTAATAGCTTTTCATGCATCCCCCAATGGGAATCATAGCTGATCCACACTCATTTATTTTCACTAAGAGTGCTGGGTTTCATAGTGGATCTCAAACTCTGTTTTTAATTCGTGCAATGCTTTATCAAACCCATGACACTTTCTAAAATCTCGACGTCTTTATTTTTATATTTTTTTAATTCTCTCCTCCGTAAGTATAGTTTTGTAACTTAAGTAAATGTTAATCCTATGTAATGCAACCTGATTGAGGCTGAGGTTTGTTTGCAGGTAGATGGCCACAGGATTAGGCTAGCAACTCACAAGAATTTCGAAGATTTTGTCTTGAATGCAGGCTTGGAGTTTTACCCTTTAGGTGGAGATCCCAAAATTCTTGCTGGTTGTAAGTGTTTCTTATCTTATCTAATATATGAAATTGCTAGGTTAAACTTGTTTTAATGATTTAAAGGGTTAGTAATGATATCATCTGGTAATGGCCACTGCAGCTATATTTTATTAGTAGCCTGGCATTAAAGTCTAACTTGAATCCCAGATAGTGGGACTTTTTATGTAGTTCTCTTTCTTATGATTCAAATCAAACATAATTTATATGAATACAGTCATCTTTGCCAATGAGCTAGGTCTTATGGCACCCCTTCCCCCCTTAACACGAAATTGTTCTGTAGATATTTGTCAAAAAAGATGTATGCCCAAACACTTTATTGAAAAAGATGAAGAAAACTATAGCAGAATCAATATCAAATCAAGAAATGAGATTTACTTCATCAGAACGAAATATAGAGTTTGCACATAAGCCAGTTGTTTAGTAGAGGGGATGTTTATTCTACTGTTTTCAAGTACAAATATATGTTGTCTTCTGATGAGTAGTATTTCTTCTCTGTGCTTGTGCTTTTAAATTATTTATATAATTATTTATATACATATGTTTTGTTCAGATATGGTCAAGAATAAAGGCTTCTTGCCATCAGGACCTTCAGAAATACATTTACAAAGGAATCAGATCAAGGCTATTATTAATTCTTTGCTTCCTGCATGCAACAGTACTTACCCAGATTCTAATGTTCCATTTGAAGCAGACGCAATAATTGCCAATCCTCCAGCATATGGTTAGATTCTACGTTAGTTTTTCTTTTGATTTAATTGTGCTATGCCTCACCATAATTATAAATAACATTGACAGAAAAGTCTCTTTCCGTTGAATGAGAATGTGATTTAAACATTTTATCAAGTGATAAGAGATTGTATAGTAACCAGAAATCGGTTCAACAACAAACTTGATGTCTCATAAAATTTTGAGGATTTGAATAGTCTAAAGTGATGTGTACAGTTTACAGATAAAGTGTGGAATGGTAATCTCAGTTCATTATAACTGTACCTGTATTTTGTAACTGTTAATCCATCAATGGTTACCAATTCAGCACTTAATAGAGTAGAAGTGCACCATGCACCATGCACCTTAGAGGATCTCTATCTAAAATTTAAATTATATTTGCTAAGAACCTGGGAAGAAATAAAGATGGAGAACATTGATGGAAATTTCTTTTCCTTTTCTTGTGTGCTTTGTTAGCTTATGATGCTGATGGAAGCCTTACAAGGAAACTCTCTAGAGTGGCTTTTTAGCAGGTTTTAGTTTCCAAAATGAGGGTCTTGTGAGACCTTAAAGAGCAAGGTTTCTGGAGTTTTATATTGATTGAGTTTGAATAGATTGAATTTAAAGAATCAACCAAGTCAAAGGCATAGGATGCAAGTGTTTATTGGCAACAGCAATTTTCAAGTTATACTGATTTGTAATTGTGGGGAAATTTTATGTCTAACAGCTAGAGGAACTATGGTTTGAAGGATTACACCATTTCATTATGATAAAGAAAAGGGTAACTATTAGAGTTAAAAAGAAGAAGGTGAGATAACCTTATGGGACTGTTTTAGTAGCTGTGAGAAGTAACTCATGACAGAGGGGGAAGGACAATATGCATACATACCTTTCTCAAATACACATTAACGATTCAATATCTTAATTTTCTCAAGCACGATGAAACATATTTTAGACTAAACAAGAATTTCCTCCCTTTTGTTGCTGAGAATGGGAGTCCCAAACATGGAAACTGCAAATAACAAGGTGAAAGAAAGTACATGGACAGAGGATAGAAATGGTTACAAGATTAACTAATAATCTGATATTATTTACAGCTAATATGTATAACTAAAAAATATGTTATGGTCTTTTAACATATATGAACTTATGCAGGGCATACTCATGTTGCCGAGTATCTAAGAGTTCCACTACACATATTCTTCACAATGCCATGGACGTAAGTCTTGTTTGGTGACATGGGCTAATCTTGAACTTAATTATCTATATTTCTATCATGAGTTCTGTCCTATATGTGTATCATTCATTGACTTAGGAATTAGGATAGTTCTCAGTTGTGCTCATTTTTTGATTGCTATATTAGCATAAAGACATATAAGTGGCTATGTAACTTCGGGGATATTTTCATACTGTGCTTTTGAGTGATGATGTTTCACTATATTTGCAGGCCTACTAGTGAATTTCCTCATCCTCTTTCACGTGTTAAGCAACCAATTGGATACAGAGTGAGTCCCATAGCCTGCCTGATAATCTGAAGTTAGCCAATCTATTAATTTACCATGGCATGTTTAAGTTATCGTTTTATTTTGCATTTCGTGTCTTTCAGCTGTCATATCAAATAGTTGATACTTTAATCTGGCTTGGAATACGAGACTTGATAAATGAGTTTAGGAAGAAGAAGCTGAAGTTAAGGCCTATTACTTATCTAAGTGGATCTTATAATTCCCCTCCTGACGTGCCCTATGGTTATATATGGAGTCCTCACTTGGTCCCTAAACCAAAAGGTTAGATATGCATTTATAGTGTGCTCTTATTGCATTATGGTCCTCAGCTCACTCATTGTTCCCCTTCTAATGTACCACTATTGTCATATATAGCATAAAGTTATTATAATATATTGGGTTGATAATTCTGTCACGTCATCATTGTCATCAGCATCCCTTTCCTTTCCTTTTATGTGCTCGCTTTCTCTGACCTGGGTTTTCCTGGACTGAAGCTTTTTTTTGAAGCATTCTGTGATAGTCTGATTGTGTTTTGCTTCTTGTTCTGCAGATTGGGGGCCTAACATTGACGTTGTTGGATTTTGTTTCCTTGACCTAGCTTCAAATTATGAACCACCAAAATCGCTAGTAGATTGGCTTGAAGAAGGCAAAAAACCTATTTATGTTGGATTTGGTAGCCTTGTGAGTTTCAATGTTCTCATGTTTAGGTCATCTAATTACTCTGTGATGAATCAGCAGAATACACTGTTTGTCTAAATAATATTCCAAGTAACATTTGCACTGGACCATTCCACCTTAAATCACTAGTCACTAGTCAGTAATACATATAGGAATTGAATCAAATGTTCCTTTGCTTATCTTGAGTTCATTAATTGTGTTTGGAAATTTGTCTTATGAGAATGAAAGTTAAGAGATCAATTTTTCAGAATTGTTCCAGTAAGTGTCTGTAACTTAAATGAGTTTTTCCAAACTAACTCCACTAACCATGAGAGATCTGTCTTGAATGAAATTCTGTATCAGTATAAAATTGGATTGTGTTCACACTGAGAAACAATGGTAGGATAGGGTCACCCTTGAAGTAAGCTAAAAGAAAAGCTCTTCCATTTTTAGAAAGATCAATTGAATAGGCATTCACCAAAGCAGATATATGAAACAACAGAGATAGAAACCTCTATTTATATAAAGCTTTAATTCTGTACTTAATTGTATTAATTACCAAAATGCAGCTATGCTATGCAAACTTTCTATTCTAATGTAACTTTTGGTTCGAGTTTGGAACAGCCTCTACAGGAACCCGACAAAATGACAAAAATTATAGTTCAAGCTCTGGAAAAAACAGGGCAGAGAGGTGTTATCAACAAAGGCTGGGGTGGTCTTGGGAATTGTGAGTCTTCATTTCTACTACAAGCATGCCATTAGTATACTACATTTTTTGCAGCTTTGATTATGAACAATGTAGTAATTCTGTTTCTCAGTGGCAGAACAAAAGAAATCTGTGTACTTATTGGACAACTGTCCGCATGATTGGCTATTTCCGCGATGCACTGCTGTGGTACTTGCAAAAATTTTCTCAATAGAAGTACAATTGTTTCGAATTTAAATTGAAAATTTTGGTTGAAAGTTGCAAATGTTTCAGGTACATCATGGGGGTGCTGGAACAACTGCTGCTGGTCTTAGGGCTGAAGTAATGTATCCTATAATGTGAAATCTTGTAACTTCAAGGTTATCTGCATCTTACATAGAGTCATCTCTATTTTGTATTTTTGTAGTGCCCAACAACTGTTGTACCATTCTTCGGGGACCAGCCATTTTGGGGAGAGCGAGTGCACACTAGAGGAGTAGGTCCAGCACCCATCCCGGTGGATGAGTTTACATTGGAAAGGCTGGTTGATGCCATACGCTTTATGCTGAATCCAGAGGTAATATTTAACTGTGATCAGAGTTAGTGTTGTTAATGTTGCATATGCAATGTGTTCCAGCCTTGTTCACGATGCATAAATATCTTATACCATAATGTACCTGGAAAAAAGAGTTTATACAATATGTTTTACCTTTAGCGATGGATAATAGTATATGCTTATCTAACTTCATTTTTTTTAATGGTATAACATACCGATGTGCTACGGGGAAAGCGACTTATATATTTCAGAAATAAAAACCATTTAAGATCAATTTACGTTTGTCCCCTGAAAGTGTGGGATCTTACAGAAGAGAATATTAAAACAAATGGAAGTCATCTTCACAACTTTCGCTTTTTATGGTCTTTCATAGATCCGTTAGTTATTAATTGTGGTAATGGCGCTGTGCAACATAGTCAACTAAAGTGGCTTTTCGTCTTGTTTTTAATGTCTTTCAGATATCTTGTCATGGGCTTTTATGCAGGTGAAAAAGCGTGCTGTTGAACTTGCTAACGCCATGAAAAATGAAGATGGGGTGGGAGGAGCAGTTAATGCCTTCTATAAACATTATCCGTGGCAAAAGTCTGATTCTGAGGCCGAGCCCAAGCCATTAGCCTCAGGACATAAATGTTTCTCTATACGAGGATGCTTTGGTAGCTCAAAATCTTCTAGATAAATAGCTTTCTTCATTCAGCATATTCGTCCATGTAATCATGTTCATTCTTCTGCCAAATTCTGATATATCTGCAATTATGAGATGTAAATTGCCCTGGTGATTTTGTTGAGTTTCTCCAGAAATATATCTAAGCGGCCAGCATTATCCAATTTACTCTGTCAATAGCCATTACGTTTAATTTCTTCTTTAGCATAAATTTTTTACGATATACCCCTCAACATGATCCGGTGATTTGGAGAATACAACTGATAAATTCATTGAAATCTTCTGACAAGAAATGTGCAAACTTGTTGGGTTATAATTTGTTTACTGATGGTGTTCAAGCACTATATTCAAGTAATGACTGTCTTGCTCCACCTTTTGTTTATTTATCTATATTTGGCGTATATACTACATTTTCTTGACATATTTTATGTGTGTTCAATAAGAAGTGATTAGCGGACATAGCATCAAATTTATTTTGAGAAATGTTATATTTACAAATTTTTTGTTTACAAACTACACTAAATATACTTCAATCAATAGTGTATGACCAGTTATATTTAGTGTAATTTGTAAAAAAAAAAATTATAAACGGATCCTTCTCCATTTATTTTATGTAGCCTCCTGTCTGCCTTATTTAAAACTACAATTATAAATCTATAATTCGTGAATTCTACTCTTTTTAAGAAGAACCATAAGGATGTAAAAGATTTTAAGAGAAAGGAGCGAGCATAAAACCTCACTTTACTACAAGATTCACTTAAGTAGTATGAAGATAGAAAATAACTCTACATTTTTTAATTTTTTCCTCCACTCATTTTATATTGTATGGTTGATGTTGTGCTACACCGGCAATTAGGACTGAGCCTGATAAACTTCCCCTTTCTGGCTTATTTCATCCTTATCGCAAAGGCTCATGGATGGATCCACTTCCAATGTTGACATCTGTAATGAGGGCACAATAGGAGGTTTTATCCTGTGTGTTACAGTCATCTTCAACCCTTGTGTCGTATGAATTGTCGCTCCAGTAGTCATCACAACCTATGAGATACAATGAATCAGTCAGATTCTAGTCATATCATGGCAATTACCGGTTACTATATATGTATATAGGTTTAATGTTTCTCATGTCAAAAGGAGATAAAGTTATCTTCTGTTACCTTAAAAGACGTCCATTTAAAAGTAAAAAAAATTATAAAAATATTGACTAATATAATCTTAAAATAAACGACAGTTACAAAAATATTTTTGTCCGAATCCCAATATGACGCCGTTTTGGGTTGCATGATATAAGTTATTTGACGGGATAAAACATTAAACCTTTAGTATATTGCAGTATAAGTTTGTTAATTTCATTTTTTAACAACGTTAACCTCAAAATCTAACTAAAAAAAGTTCAAACAGTCAACTTTAAGACCACAATTCTAGAACTGAAGGTTTTCCTAAAACCAACTTTTAAATCATGAGACTTCAAAGTTACAAACTTACTGGTGGAGCTCCAATTGCCATTTGAAAATTGAACCGTCTAACAAGCATTGCAAGTGCCACTACAGTCTTTACAAGCATACAAACAAAAATTATCGTTAGTATGCGCAATAGCATTTGCTCACTAAAAAGTCTTGAGAAGAAAACTGAATCAATTCATATAATTGTAAGGTTCTCCAACTAGCTCATAAGAATAGCATATAATATAACCAAAAGATTTAGAGAAAAGTATTTCTCCAGTCACCGGAGATAAAGTTATTTCCAGTGAACTCAAAACGACGTCGTTTTGGGGTTATAAGATTAAAAATTTATAATGATAAAGACTAATATAACCCTGCAATATATTATAATTACAAAAGCACTTTGATTTCCGTCTCAAAACGACGTCGTTTTGGGTTTACTGGAGATAACTTATCTTCATTGACTAGACAAAGATTTAACAACACAGCAACAGGTTAACATGGACACTACCTCATATGAAGCAAACAAATCACCTACACATTTCCGTGGTCCTCCACCAAATGGTAGATATCTGAATGAAAGAGTAAAAGTATTACTTTCTTGCAAACTACGTTATAGTATAGATAAACTCTTGGCCTAAAGTATGACAGCATACATGAGAGGGAGTTTCGGGGTGGGGTTAGAAATCATACAAAATAGATTAAATACAGGTAATATACTTGAAGTTTTGATTCGTCTCATTAGGGTTAGGTCCATCTAACGCCCATCTTTCAGGTTCAAACTTATCAGCATCATCCCACAGTTTTGGACTGCGATGCAGGTTCCATATAGATATAAAGATATCTTCACCTCTGCAAATAATTAATGACATAAAATCACCATAGATCAGAAAGGAAACTGTCAGTATATTACATGTTGTGAAATTTTTTATATTATATCCCTTAAGGTTTCCCTAAGTTACACTCACATCTTCATTTGTTTCAGAAATTACAGTGAGCTTGTCTGTGATTTTTCATTTCACCTGCAGAGAAGGCTGTATGGAGGATTTATATGTACGTGGATAAAATTTCAAAGGGGTCTATTTAGCTATGAAATTCAAAATAGGAAGCTCAGGGATTTTTCTTAAACAGGATAGAGGTTAAGTGAAATTTAAGCAAAGCCTAGAGAAGCTAATGTAATTTACTCTATAACCAGGAGCTATGAGCTCACAATTTTGGTTGATACTAAGAGAAACTTGAAGATGAAAGAAAAAAGAATAAGACTTAAGACAAGAAACAATGGCAAAACTGTTTCTTAACCAGCTAAAAAATAAGTACTTTATTGAAATTACCTTCTTATAGGATACTCTCGAAGAACATCATCCTCAAGAGAGCGACGAATTAACACGGGTGGTTGTGGGTAAAGCCTCAATGACTATAAATTAAATATATGTAGAAAAGTCAACTACTACCTATAGAATAATCAGTTTAAACATAATGGGAAATATGTCATCTTTATACCTCGTTGATCACTCTAGTCGTATATTTGAGTTTCTTCATGTCTTCAATAGTTGGAAATCGATCTCCAAGAACAGAGTCAACCTACGAAAAATTATATATTATCAGATTCTTGTGATCCGGAAACCTAATATGATACTTGCATACTAATCTGAAAGCTAAGAATCTCATGAAACCTCTTCTTGAAGCTTGGACATGACACTAGGTTCCTGCAGCCAACGAAAAAGAAATATTCTTGTATTAGACATTACTGCATTATAAATTAATTCCTCACTTTATATGTGACCACAAACAAATAACCATAAGTGTATGCATTTTAGTAATGTGAAGAAATAACTGTAACGTTCTATCCCACATGCATATATATATATATGGGTTCGATTTTTTTGCAGCCGCTTTACGTGCAGTAGTGACAAATTTTCCATATATATAGGTTAAAGCATTTAATGTAGGGAATCATAATCATACACCTGTCATTGCTACAAGTACAACAACTTTATATATGATTTTACCTATATATATATCAAAAGTATTATTTTCCAAACCTTCCCTGCTCAGTTAAGTAAAACTTTTGCAATGAAAGAGAAGAAATAATATAATGCAGCAGTAAGCCAAGAAGGAATGGGATGAGCAGCATACACAAGATGACAAGATCACAAGAACAATAATCCCCATCTTATTGAATCTTAAACACATATTACCTTGGATAGAAGATAAAAGGTCCAAGTCAAAACAGCAGCTGAGGTTTCATGTCCAGCAATCAGCATTGTCATTAAGTCGTCCCGGAGTTGCTTACTTGACACCTACAAAGTCATTACTTTCATACTTTGCACTGACATCCAGTTTTTTCATTAACTAAAATAACTTGAGACACGGCCGACATACATCGTCTCCTGATGCCAACAAGAAGTGAAGAATACTTGGATCTTGTTCATTCATGTACTCCTCATGAAACTGTAACTCTTCTTTATCCACCATACTCTGCAAATGATAATTGAAAAATATAAATGAAAACACAGATTTTAGCAGTCCTACGTAAAGTCATTACTTTCATACCGAGCATGTTAATGTAGATTGGGCTATTATTTTTGTTATTTAATTTAGGATTTTTATTTTCACAATTAAGGTTTTCAATTTGAGATTATTAATTGTTATTTTTTATTTAGGGATTTTATTCTATTTGAGACACTTTGATTATTATATAAATTGATATTTCTTTTATTCAGAGAGTATCTGATATTTGAGTCGGAGGAGCACTCTACCCAAGAAGATTACTCTAGGTTTAGGATTCCTAAAGATTTGACTTTTGCTGATAGTTTAGGATTCAGGTTCTTGTACCAAAGTTTAGAAGACAGTGTCAAAAAAAAGTGCAAAAATTGCATGTTCATGATGAATATAAGCTTGTGTCACTATAATGACAACATTACCTTGCATATTGCTATCAGATCATCAAGTGTATCATTGACCAATTTGAGAGCTGCAGTAACCTTCCTTTGACGTGGAGATATGTCTTTCCAAATTGGGATATCCCAGACTGGAATTGGAGCAACACTTCGATCTTCTGCTTCTCTCAGTACAGTATAAACAGCCTGAACTAATTAGATAAAGTGCAACAATATGAAGCTTGTACACAAAGTAACTTCATTACTGGAACAGTGAGCATAAAAAAGACAGAAGGGTAAGGCAAAATTCCAAAAAGTATACCTCAACTATACCAGTGTCATTTGATAAACAATCAAAATCATAATTGAATACTGCCTTGCCAATGATGTCCAAGGTCAATCGAGAGAAAAGCGACTCCATCTCAACATCTTCTCCATCAGATGCGGATTCATCTAGCTTCTGACAGAGCTTATCTGTAGCTTGTCCAAAAAGGCCAATCATAGCTGCTACATACTATAATGAATAATCACAATCAAGAACAAGATAAAGAAGTTGTAGCAAGATTTAAAATAAAAATAAAATAAGAGTAAAGTAGTTCCAAACATCTCTCAACACCATAAAATGAATACATCCAAATATGCTGCTCTATAAATTTTCATGTCATAAATGACATTCTGATGGTGACTAGTATTGCTTAGTGGATCTATGTTCAGAATGAGGTGAGAATAGCTATCTCCATAAGGAAGTACATATTGAACCTGGCGTCATTGAGTTACTTGAAACTTTTAGAAGCTAGCTAGGATCTATGTTTCTTCATTAAGTAAAAATGCTACCTAGCTAGCTTCTAAAAGTTTCAAGTAACTCTCAAGTAACTCAATGACGCCCAGTTCAATATGTACTTCCTTGTGGAGATAGCCATTCTCACCTACATAAATTAGCAATAGTTTTTCCAACCTGTAAAGAACCTTGGGATACACCACCTCAAAAGCTAGCTCAAGGAGTGGCAGTGCCCAAGGCCTTATAAACTCCACATTAGTTGCACATACAATCAATGTGAGACTATATATCTCAACACGCCCCCTCACACGAGAGCCCATTGGGCTTGAAGAGTGGAAGATGCAATAGGCCCAGCCTACCTGTGCTAAGAAAGTCCACAAGAGAAAGTGGGGGGCGGCGAGGCTCTGATACCATGTAAAGAACCTTGGGATACACCACCTCAAAAGCTAGCTCAAGGGGTGGGAGTGCCCAAGGCCTTATAAACTCCACATTAGTTGCACATACAACCAATGTGAGACTATATATCTCAACACAACCAAAGAAGGAAACATTTTAATTTATGACCTCAGCAGCCAAGAAATGTATCTAGGATATGATTCAATAGAGACTATAAATAAATCAGTCCAAGAACACTAGAAAACCTTCTGATGCAATGCTGGGACTATAGCACGTCGTCTGACTCGCCATATTTCCCCATCAGCTGGGATGAGCCCTTTCCCCATTACAAACTCTAGGATCTCAGCCAAGATACCCTGCACTTTAGAGAAGTAACAAAATCAATCTGCAAATACAATGTGTGAAAGAAGGGCCAGAGAAGAAAAGCACTTGTACAGTAGCAGTCATTGTCGACTGTTGAGTCTAGTACCTTTGAATAAGCCTTAGAATTGTCTCTCAATATGTGTTTTGCAATAGACGGATCAGATACTATCAGAAAGGACTGCAAGATAACCAAGAGTGAAACTCAGTTATCACATATAAGGTGCCTTTTTTTTTTTTTTTGTTAGTATATTAAAGTTTAGGGTGAGGGGAACCTCTTCCCATTCCAATTCCATGGCAAACCATATGTGGGATTTCAAATTGCCTACCAATGGGGGATCCCATGATTCAAACCCAATTCATGCAATTGTGATGAACTGAAGGTTGAGTAGGTGAGTCAAACCCCCCATTATATAAGGCATTGTTTTCAAAGAGAAATGAACTACATTTCAGTTTTGAAAAAACCTGAACTAACCTTTGGTCCAAATGTCAATCTGAAAATCCCACCGTATGTGAGGTAAAGTTCATACAAGGGAATGAAGAATGCTTCACTTCGAATGGCGTTGATTGACCCTTTAGCCTCAGGAATTCTGGGGTACTTGCCACTTCCTTCAACCCAACCAAATAAAAAATCCACAACCTCATTGGGCAAACCCACCTTTAACAAGCTCTTCTTCAGCATAGAAGGTAAACTAGACCAAACCCACAAAATTGCAAAACCAAAAAAAAATAAAATAATAAAATAATCATTCTTGTAGCATACCCAGTTCAAATTTAAACACTATAACCTGAGTTAGACCAAAATTGAAGACAAAAAATGGGGGGATATTAGCAACTAACCCATCATTAAATTAACAAAATCAATCCCATGAAAGAAGGAAAAAAATTCGAAAACTTTAAGGTTGTTTATGCATTACCCAGATTTCTGGTTCACGGTGAATTCTCCTGAGGCAATCCTAGCAGACAATTCAGCTCGTCGTTTCTCTTCAAGAAGACGACGCTCCATGCTTTTGACACCATCATCCCCCGAATCAGGGTCTCTTCCATTTGAGGAAGAGCATGCAGCAATCATTGGTGAACGAGATCCTCTTTGTGGTAATGATGTGGAACATGGAAAGCAAGAAGAATAAGAAAAAGTGGTGTTGGGTTTGAATCCATTCATGCGAATCTGTTTGGCATGGAAGCGTTGAGTGGGAATAGAAAGAGGAGGAGGAGCATGAAGAAGAGCAAAATGGGAAGCCATAGATAACACAATTGTAGTTAACAAAGTAACATACAAATACACAAACACAAACAGATAAGTAAGTGGTTATAATACACAACACTCATCAGTTTCTTTGTAAAACTGTGTCAGCTTGTCATTAGAATCTTTTGAATAACCATCGCCGAACAAATTGGTTAGATACCCTTTCTAGTTTTGTTCGTATAAGAGCATGCCACGTTCGTTTGTTCCAACAAGTACTACGTTAAAGGACCACAAATAAATTTTAAGGATATAATATATGGTATAGGGATATGGTATAGGATTGGAAGAGTTTTGTTTATTTATTTATTTTTTTTCAATTTTTTTATTTCACAATTCTTACTAGGAAATAGTGTTTCTCCCCTCATAAATAGCCTGATTGATTTCCATTTCTGAAAACTTTTTTTTTTTTTTTTTGGAAAAATAATTAAAAAAAATTATTTGAAAAGGGTTTTATAAAAATATTCTAATATTTTTTCATGTCACCTTTGCAAACAATTGAAACTCTAATAGTTTTTAGCAGTGCTAATTAATATAAAATAAAATTTCACATAATGAAGTGGCTCTGATCAATCAAGTTTTTCTTTTATGATTATATATATAGTTTGGTCTACTTTTAAACATAACAGCAAAGAAGAGAAAAAAGAATGTAATATTTAACTCATTCGTACATTGTTTTTGTACCGATATTTTTGAAAAATTTTAAGCAATATAAAATTATGTTTTATGATTAGAAACACATTAATTACTGTTTAAGTATATAATTATTTTCTTTTTTCATAACTTAAAAAATTCCATTTTTAAGAAATAAGGAGTAAGAAAAAGTATGTCATGACAGTCATGTACTTTGTATATGTATTACATAATAAGTAACTAAGTTGAATTTTTGATACCCTCGAGTCAAATACCCCAACACAAACCTAGTTTGGTTCTTTCCAATGTAGTTTAATTTTGTCCATTTGGAAACTGAGACATGGAGAGAGGGAAGTATTGAACAAGGAATAAGGATGGGGGAAAACTGAAATAAGGAGAAGGATAGCAAAGTGCAAATGTGCAACCTGAGAATAAAAGAATTGACCCAATCCAAATCCAAATTGATCCATTATTGAAGGTCAAATCGTGTTGTCACACGCTCCAACCCATTACAATTCATATTTTATGCGAGTTATTGAGTTAAATTTTATAACCCAACCCACCTTTAAACATAAGATTTGATGTTTGTATAACTTATTTTATGAGAGAGACGTAAGAAATAAGAATTATGGAAAAGAAAATGAGTGTTTTTTTAATTTAAATTTTAAATAAAAAATATTATTTTGTATCTATCTCTTTCTTAAAATAACATAACTTTTTTTTTTGGAAATATTTCAATCGATTTATTGTTTCACAACTAATCCGATTCGGAGTTGGTTTAGGATTAAGACTTTAAACCCCTACAAAAGATTTATGTCATTTAAAATGACAAATACTTTTTCCTTTAATATATCCATTACATTATCCACATTTCAAGCACTTTATTATCATTTACATTTTCCCGTTTCGTTCGATAAAAATCTAAATCGAATACAACATGATACTAAGAGAAAAATATTTCTGCAATTACTGCAGATAAGTTATGTGCATTTACTTTCAAAACGATGTCATTTTAGAATTGAAAGATTAAAAAATTATAATTATAAAAACTATAATAATTCTTGAATAAATTAAAATTACAAAAACACCATGATTTTTGCCAAAAAATGATGTCGTATTGGATTTACTGTAGATAATTTATCTGCAGTAACTGCAGAAAAAACCAATCCATACTAATTACTAAAACAAAATGAGCAAACTAAATCCACCTCATAGTGATGGAATCTGACAAAATTACCAAATGAACATATGACTATAAGGTTCCAAATAGATATTTAATAGTCAAGAAAAAGCAAACCACCAAACAGGTCTAAATTTTTTTTTACCAAGTGAAATCTCTGAACACACATCAGAGTACCAAGTCCAAAATTCAAAACCAAGTGCATAAAAAAGCATATTGAAATCTTAGAAAATTCTCATAATTGTCTGAATTGTCATAGCTCATATACGATTGGTACTTTGGTAGCTCTTCTACCAATTGAACTCATTGCATGCGGTCAATTTGAACCCGGTCCATCATTGTTGCCTGTTGACATCAATATACACACATAAACACATAAATCGAATAAGGCCTTGCATTTTATGCACATAAATATACACAATACAAATCTAAAAGAATTAGCATGTTCATGTCAAAATATAGAATAAAAACGTACCATGGTTAGGATATATCATAGCAAACAGCCTCAAATGGGGATCCACAGGTAAGCCCATTCTTTGATATTCAGGGTCATACACAAAGTTTTCTATAGGCCTACATTGGTGACCAGTTCATTTTGTAAAACAGACAGAAAGCAATGCATAATAAGGTAGACTGTACTAGCTATAGGTATAGCATTGTCAATAAATTAAGTCACTAGAATTAGTCTAGTGACGAGGGATGTATAGTTATGTATTAGGTTGTGTGTTTACTTTCTCAATGTATCAAAAAAAAAAATTGTTAATAAACTAAGTGTCAATGTTCCATGTTATAATATAGCAAACTCTACCTTGGTGGGGAATGAGTTTCACTGCCTTGACCATTTAGATTCAAAGGTCTACTCATCTGAAGTTCTGTCAATGGCGGGCTATTGCTTTGTACGGTCATTCGCATCTATATTCAACGAAATTCGTGACAAAAATTTTATTACTTATATTGAATGAAGGGATATATGAAGGATCAAAATTAGAATAGCTACCATAAAAAATTACTATATATACATAGCTTACCCTAACGTTCCTTGATGGTAATGACTCTCCTATCTCATACGAGTTAGGATGATGGCCCAATATTCCTCGCTGCATACAATGAATCAGAAAATTAAAGAAAACAATGTAAATCGGATGAAGTTTTGCTTCTTGCATTGTGAAATCATATGGGAGTCATTGAATCATAAAGCAATCATGCACATCACTAATATCATCTATTTCACTATTATAGTTAATTATGCATGCATAGTTGATATAGTTTTCAACTAAATTAATTAAGCTGTTGAATTAAATGCAGTATTTTCTCAATTGGAAATTAAAAAAAGAAAAAGAAAATAGTGATATACATATACTTGTTGTGTGTTTGATAAGCGAGGTTGAGTGAAGGACCCTCCCCCAATATAATAGGAACTTATATAAGCTCCAGGACCACCTACCACTTCTTGAAAATGTATCTCTCGTATTGAGACATAATTCCTGTTTATACATGTGAATTAAAGAGATATTAACGCAAAAAAATAAAAAATAAAAAATAAATGCTAAACTAAAATATAATGAACACTCTTGCTAAATTGCTAATTACCTCAATTGGCCACTGGATAGATTAAGTTGCGGACGCCAATTTGGATAATTGGGCCTCTGATGAGTTATCGGATTTGGAGGTGCACCGATTGCAACTCCAACTGGAGTCTAAATGACAAATTAAATAATATTGAATTTGTTATGGATATGAATATCATATCTGAACTACCTACCTAGAAATCCATTAAGAGATAGAGTCACCAGCATCTTAACAACTCTAAACAGTCAAAGGGCACAAGATAAGGATTACATCTCAACAGAAAGGGAGTTGAATCCTATTGCAATTGGGGGAGCTCAAAAGGCCCAAGCCTAAGAAGGTAATCCTTATAAATAAGAGCCTAAGTACCCCAGGTAAACACTTTTAACCTATTTACTGATACTGCCCACACCGTGCACACACCCACCCCTTGGCTATAAGCCTATTGCTTGTGCGCAGTGATTGGGACATCGGCTATAAGTCTAGTATACCCCTGATATACACTATCTCTAAGCACATACCTCGCGGTATAGCAATACGGTCAATCCAGGACCGAACATTGGTGCCGTCTGTGGGAAACGATAAATTTCGATTCCCATTCCACGATGACGAACACCCGTTCGATGTCCAGCACTGCCCAAATGCCGCCACACCAATCTCAGCCTCAGCCTTATGGTATGCCGTCACACCAACCTGCATTGGAACAGCTCCAATCAGCCGCGACCCCTGTGCTAGTAGAGGTTCAGGTCAGCGAGGTCGGCACTCAAGGACTGTCCTCCAGAACCCAGCCCAACGCGACAGCGGGTCCAGTGTGCCCACCTCCGCATAGTGAACAATCGAGGGACATAACCACTGTGGCCATGAATGCGATCCTCCAAAGGATGCAGGAGATGGAGAACAGATTCTTGGCTCAACAAGGGCTGAATGCCCAGAGGATGGAGGCGCTGGAGGCTGAGCTGCGAAATCAAAACCTTGTGGGACGAGCTGGAGGAGCAGGCCGAGGTGGATGTGCAGGCCAGACTAATGAGCCACAACATCAAAACGCGGCCACGACAGAAGGAAATATGCAGAATCCCCGCCATGACAACCACCAGGAGGGCGGAGGACCAGTCAACAACCAATGAGATAATTATCTCCTTGATGAGGAGGTTAACGATAGCCCATTCACTGAAAGACTCATGAACTTGGCAATACCGCTGAGATTCAAGAGTGCCAAGATACCACCGTACGACGAAAGTCAAGACCCGGAGGCCCATTTAGAGGCTTTCAAGACCGAGATGTTGTTCAACGGGATCACTGGACCTATTAAGGCCAGAATCTTCGCGACGACCTTGACAGGTCAGGCAATAGCTTGGATAACCAGGCTCCTTAGGAACTCGATCGACTCGTTCAAGGACCTAGCCCGGACTTTCCGACTAAACTTTGCAACAAGCAAAGCACATCCAATGCCGGCCTACGCTCTGGGAAGAATCCGGCAAAAGGAGAATGAATCGTTGAGGAAATACCTCGACCGGTTCAAGGATGCCGCCCTCAAGGTTCGGAGCCTAACTGAAGCAGTGCACCTCCACCTAATCATCTCGGGATTAGATGGCGACTCTCCACTTGCGAAGTCCATCTATAAGAACCCGGTCAATGATCTGGAAGAGTTCCGACAAAGGTCGGATAAATACATTGATGTGGAAGACATGCAAAAAGTCTACGTGGAGTCCCGAGGACGCAGTCCGACACGACGAAGCCCGAGTAAGAAAAACAACAAAGACCGGGACCAGCGGGGATCGAAGAAATCGAAGGACACTCGTGATAAGAGGTCGGAAGATCGGTCTCCAAGGAGGAAATATGATGATTACACGCCCTTGAACATGTCCAGATCTCGGATATGGAAAGAGGTAGCCCAGACTGAAATGCGCAATGTCGAGAGACCTCGACCCCTCAAAGCCAAGAGTGGATTGGATAGAAACAAGTACTGCGCCTTCCATGACCAGAACGGCCATATCACGGATGACTGCTGGGACCTCCGAGATGCCATCGAAAAACACATCAGAGAGGGAAAATTAAAGCAGTACATCATTCGAATCAGGGCAAGAAGAATAATAAGCGAAGGCAGAGAAGCCGGAGCCGAAGTCGAAGCCTGAAGAGAGAGGACAGAAATGATCAGAAACAAGACCGCCTTGCAAAGGGCAAAAAGGTCGAAGATAAAGATGAGTCTTTTCAGGAGGCTGAATTTGAATGCAACGTGGTAAGAGGAGCTCTGGGAGGAGGAGGAGACACGACCAATGCAAGAAGAAAGTACCTGAAAGAGGTCATGTCAGTAAGAGACAGGCCGACCTTCAAAGGGAAAGCCAGTGATCCTGCTCCCCCAAGATTGTTTTTCTCTCAGGAGGAACTGGTAATGGTCGTACCCGGACACACCGACGGCTTGGTAATCACCGGAGTGCTAGTCAATTGCCGGGTCAAGAGAATCTTTATTGATCATGGAAGCTCGGCAGACATAATTCTCTGGGATGTTTTCCAAAGGATGAACCTGGACGAGAAGGACTTGAAACCATGTGTCACCGAGCTGGTCGGGTTCAATGGAGCGACGTCCCCTCCAAAAGGCTACATTGATTTGAAGCTGACCTTAGGCACGAAGGATGCATTCCGAGCCAGAAGGGTTCGTTTCGTCGTTGTAGACACCTCGTCTTCCTACAACGTGATCATTGGCAGGCCTACAATCCATGACTGGGATATGCTGATCTCCACCAAGCATCAAGCACTGAAAATGCCAGGGGCGAATAACAAGATTATCACTATAAGAGGAGATCAGAAAGAATCTAGGGAGTGCTACTATGAGACCCTGCGAGTCCATCAAGGAGGTCCATCATCTCCCTCTCGGCTTAAAAGTGGAGGAGCTAAGGACCAATCGCTAAAGGCATGTGGAAGCGAGGTAAACTTGACCGAACTCGACATGAGGGAGGAGCTTCAGGCACCTCTTCCAGAACCCCAGGGAGAATTGGAAGACATCAATATTGGGAGGGACGGTAAAGGGCACACCAAGGTGAGAAAAAGCCTGGAGGCAAATTTTAAAAAGGAGCTGGTTTCCTGCTTACAGGAAAACTCTGACGTATTCGCATGGAAGGCCTCGGAGATCCCAGGAATAGACCCAACTTTCTGTTGCCACAAGCTCTCCATGTACCCAGGATCGCAGCCAGTGTCCCAAAAGAAGAGGAAGATAGGATCTGATCGACGTCAAGCTTTAAGCGAACACGTCGACGAGCTGTTAGAAGCCGGATTCATCAAGGAGATACAGTACACCACTTGGCTGTCTAACGTAGTGATGGTGAAGAAACCAAGTGGGAAGTGGAGGATCTGCGTGGACTACACCGACCTCAATAAGGTCTGCCCAAAGGACTCGTACCCAAGCATTGACCAACTAGTTGATAATTCATCAGGATTTAAGCTACTATCGTTCATGGATGCGTACTCTAGGTACAATCAAATCCCATTACACCCAGATGACCACGAAAAAACCGCCTTCATCTCAGAAAAAGAAAACTTTTGCCACAACGTCATGCCTTCTGGTCTTAAAAATGCGGGGGCGACCTATCAAAGAATGATGAACCGCGTTTTTCAAGCGCAAATTGGAAGAAATCTAGAGGTATACATCGACGACATGATCGTCAAATCAATGTGCATATCAGTGCATATCGCCGACCTCAAGGAGACTTTTGAGCAACTAAAAGCTCGAAAGATCATATTGAACCCGACCAAATGCGCTTTTGGGGTGCCAGCTGGAAAATTCTTGGGCTTCATGCTCACCAACCGAGGAATAGAGGTCAACCCCGACAAATGCAAGGCCATCCTCGAAATGAAGCAGCCGGAAACCAAGAAAGAAATTCAACAGCTCACAGGTCACCTTGCGGCCCTAACTAGGTTTTTGCCTAAGTCAGCAGAAAAAGCCTTGCCTTTCTTTAAGCTCCTTAAAAAAGAAGCGGAGTTCGGATGGGGTGAAGAGTGCAAAAGGACATTCGGAAATATAAAGAACTGCTTAGCCACACTTCCTGTACTGTCGAAACCAGAGCCCAGAGAAACGTTGATCTTATACTTGTCTGTGGGGGAAGAGGCCATCAGTGCCGCTCTGGTACGGGAGACCGACAAATCACAACAGCCGATCTACTTTGTAGGTCGGACATTGCAAGGACGATAACTTTGTTACCAGAGGCTCGAAAAGGTTGCATTCGCCCTGCTTACCACGGCAAGGAAGCTCCAACCTTATTTCCAAGGTCACCGAGTCATTGTGCGAACAAACCAGCCCATCAGGCAAGTACTACACAAGCCAGACCTAGCAGGAAGGATGATCAACTGGGCCGTCGAGCTCTCTGAGTTCGACATATCATATGAACCTCGACAGGCAATCAAGTCGCAGGCGTTGGCTGACTTCATCTTGGAGCTAACCCCATCCAAAGAAAAGGGACAAGGGAATGAAGATCTCTGGACAATATATGTCGATGGATCCTCGAACTCTAAGGGGAGCGGAGCCGGGGTGATAGTTGAAAGCCCGGAGGGAGTGTCCATTGAACACTCACTTCACCTAGCATTTTCGACCTCAAATAACCAAGCTGAATACGAAGCGTTCATCGCCGGGATCATACAAGCCAAAGAGCACGGAGCTAGGAGGATAAAGATCCTGAGTGACTCACAACTGGTTACGTCACAAGTTGAGGGAACATATCAAGCTAAGGGTCCTCTCATGATGAAGTATCTCCAACAGGTTAAGGAGCTATTAGCCGAGTTCGACGAGGTGGTAATCCAGTACATACCTCGAAACGAAAATAGCAGGGCAGACATCCTATCAAAACTCGCCAGCTCGCAAGGCTCAGGAAACCATTGCACTGTAATACAACAGAGCATCCTGAAGTCGACCTGCGTCATGGTGATAACCGAGACTGAGGATTGGCGAAGGCCAATAGTGGCCTACCTGGAAAAATGGGTCATGCCAGACGAAACACTAGAGGCCAGAAAACTCGTGAGGAACTCAGCCTGCTTTACCATAGTAGAAGGGCAACTCTACAAAAAGGGTTTCTACACACCCATGCTAAAATGCCTAAATAAGAACGAAGCTGAGTATGTGTTGGCCGAGATCCATGAGAGCATAAATGGACATCACATGGGAGGAAAAGCTCTAGCCAAAAAGGCACTAAGGGCAGGATACTACTGGCCTACGATGGAGGCGGACGCGAAGGAACACGTCAGAAGGTGCGAGCAATGTCAGAAGCATGCACTCATCCTTCGTGCTCCTCCTGAAGAGCTGCAAACCATTTACAGCTCCATGGCCATTCTTCAAATGAGGGATGGACTTGCTGGGACCCTTCACTGCGGCTGAAGGACAGCTCAAATGGTTGATAATGGCAGTTGACTACTTCACCAAATGGATTGAGGCTGAACCCTTCACCACCATTACCTCGACGAGAATACAGAGGTTCTTTGAAAGAAACCTGATTAGTCGATTCGGACTTCCCGCCGAGATCATCACGGACAACAGGACACAGTTCGCTGATAGAAAGTTCCAGGAGTTAATGGCCGACTTCAAGATTACACATCGGTTTGCATTAGTAGAACATACTCAGACCAACGGACAAGTCGAGTCCGCCAACAAGGTGATTCTAAACGGGCTCAAGAAAAGGCTGTTCGAAGCCAAAGGAGATTGGGTGCAACAACTACACTTC